TTGAGTATAACGACGACAATTTTCAGTTATAGCATCAGCTAATTCAGGATCAACTGTAGCTATGTCATCAATATCAATAACTAATGTGGTTTGTTCACGATTAGCTATATTTCTCTAAAGTATTTAAATAAAATTAAAATAATTGATAAAATCCAATAAAGAAAAAAACAAGTTAAAATACCAATTGTTTAGCATATTTTGATGCTTTATAACCATCAGCTGTATCGATTTCAAATTCATTAAGGAAATCTTTTATTTTGTCTTGAAAACAAAGAGTTTCATTTTAAAAAAAGAAAATTATAAATAAAGAAGTTCTTACTCTTGTCAGCTTGATAATCCCGAACTGTATTTTGCATTTTTCTGATTTAAATGAAAGAAAACAATGGACGATAGAAATTCGATCGAATTGTAGGAATGATGAACAGAACAAAGACGTATTCTTTCTTTCTTCTAATCTATCGAATGTAATTCGTTTAGCTTGTTCAATTATATTTTTGCGACATCTCTACAAATGTTTAAGACAAGTGCGACATCAGTAATGAAACTATACAATTAAATGTCTACATGAACCAGATAGATGTGAATTATTTTCAAACATAACCGATACATACGATGCTTTGTTTTTTTTTTAACAATTATTATGTAGAGAGTATTCCAAAAGTATGCACGAACAAAAACAGGTGAATAACTTCGTGACAGTTTAAGCGATTTACATGATTTCTTTTTTACAACATGATCTTAACGAGTGAAACATAACGAATTAAACTAAATGTCAATGCAGTGTTTGTCTCATTTAAAGTTCTATTGAAAATATTCTTCATGGTGATTGTTTAAACAATGAATTTTTTGAGTTAAAGTTCAATCGCAAAGTTCTTATTTGGACATCAAACAGCATACAAAGCTTCGTCTTCTACAAAACTACATGGATAGTAAAGCCCAATGCGATATGTTGTCGCTAAAATTCACCAAAAACTGAACAAGTCCCAAAATAGATGTTGAATTTTATTTTTTTTTTCATTTATTGTGTCTTGAAATTTGACATGATGCTGTCGTTTATAGTTTTGAAAGATAGACGATTTCATCGAGAATATTTTCGTTTATTTTTCTTCAGCAGTAAGGATACATAGTATGTTGGTTTCTTCGAAAAAACAAACGTTTCTTGTAAAATTGAAGTACACAAGTTTTGCAAAGATTGAAATTCTCCATCTTATAATATATACAAAAATATTTTATTGTACATAATAGATGATTGAAAAACTGTATTTAAAATTAATTTGATTTATTATAATCTCCACGTTATATACATTCAAATTGGATTCGTCCGATTTCAAAGTGAATGATTTTGCGTATTAATACTAGAACTGATTGATGACTAAACTTGAGTTACTGATAATTGTAAAACAAAAATTGGCAATCGAATTCGACAAAGAAACGTTATATGAATATTACATTAAAGTTATCTTCTAATAGTTTTATGAAGCTGATATCATAGAAGATCGATCACATTCTAAAAGCTCTATCGTTATAATACGTTTGAAAAGTTTGATGAACTTAATGTTATTTGTAAAAGTGTACTAGACATTAGATATTCAAATTATTGCAGAAGTTCATATAAACGCTGACGAAACTTATGATAGAGCTCAGTAAATGTTTCAATAAAATGGCACTGCTTCGTATGTCGACAATCAAATATATTAACTTTTAGAAAACCTTTTTCTAATATATGGATTCAAGGAGAGTATGGATGTACGTTTTCTATTTATCCACAAGCATACTCAGACAGTCTGCACATTTTTCCAGTGATTTTCAGCTGGAGATGACCAGAAATTGCCCGTAAACCCAGGAACATCCCGATCCGGAGCATTGTTTTCAAGTTCCATCGATTTCTGGCTGGATACGATGACTTCCTCGCATGCTTTCGAGCAATTGTATTCGTTGCTCAAGGTCAGAATCATTGACCTAGGCATGTTGTATATTATAGAGAAATTCATATGAAATGAAACTTTAAGAGATATTCAATGAAATTATGAAAAGTTTATGGGATCGCTTAATCTCTTGAGGAGCTATTCATATGTTTCTTTTATCATGCATACTTTTGAAACATTGTGTACATTAAACAAGATATCGAAAATAGTTCACATGACACAGTGATACATATCAAAATTGTAATGATATGGTACAGAGCATCGAACACAATAAAATCTATTTATTTAAGGACAAAATTTAGAAGATATAGAGTAATGACTGCATGCTAAAAGAATCTAAGAAAAAAAATAAATATTACTCAATGTTTGGATCGACGATACATTTAAATTCATGCAATATAGAAGAATTTAGCCTTTTTTTTCGTGATGAAAGAGAAATGAACGAATTTTTCAGAGTGATCAATGCATAAACATTGAGAAAGAATTGATACTTTAACAATTTGTTAATAATAATACTTATCTCACATGTAATAGATGAGCAAGTTCAAGTCATGACTTAGACTCGGGTCAACTCGAGTCATTCATTCAAAAAACCAACAGTTGATAATTCAACATTGGAATCAATTTCTTCTGAAACTAATAGCTTTCGATAGGAAGAAAATTGAAGCAGTGATCTTATTTTCTGAAAATCAAATTCACATCAGTCTAAATCTGCTAGAAAAATCATCTGTTTTCTTGCTACATTAGTACCACTTAAACACATGTTTTCTCAGAGCAGTCTTTTTTATAAGATCGAATCATTGAAAATTTTCACAAACTAATATTTGCATTCTAACCTCTTTGAAATACAATAAGACATATATTCATATGTTAATAAATATATTTTTGCTTGTAAATAACTGTAATTTTAGACTTTTACTTATAAAAATTAGTGTTTTTTTTTTACTATCTTGTGGAACAGTGTGAAAGAGAATAGTTTAATAAGGCTATAATAGTTGTGTCATGTTATTTTTGTTAATGTTGTCTATAAAAATAAACAGAAAACGAAAAAGCATCAAAAACAACTTGACTTGAATTTCCCAACGGTTCAACAATGTGATTCTATTCATGACTCTATTCTATAGACTCGAGCTTGACAATAGATAGATCATTTATCGTGGAGTTCTACCTAGCTTATTCTCATTTCTGTTTATATTGCCGAAATTTTTTATCAAGAAATCTGCACGAAAGTTGATTTGTTTTTCATTTAAGAAAGAAAATATTGAATTTAAACTTTTTACACAAATTAGAAAAAAACAAGTTTGAAAACAATGACCTGTAACTTGAGAAATGTCAAACTTTCCGATCTCTGCATCAAAGAATACATCAAACATTTTTTTCTTCACAAATTTATTCATACTTGTATTTTTCTTTGATTTATTCTTTCCATAATTAAAATAATGTTGTGGGACAGAGATTAATTAAATAACATAAACGAACAGATCATTATTACGATTAACAATAAAATAATCATGATTATTATGTCTTTTTATAATAAAAAAAAAAAAGGATTTCAAAGAACTTCGATATATTTGTTTGGATTTATTGTCTAAGTTCGTTTTCTAGTTTGCTATTACATTCTAACAAATTATTGGAAAAAAATTCATACTATTCGATACCATTGAATATGAATAATTAAAAAAGTAAATAGATATTAATTGTCATGTCAATAAGTAAATATATCTCGTTTATTGCATCTTTCAATACTCTTCTTCTCTTGAAATATTTATTTTCTCAAGCAATCTAATGACATTGTTCTTGCTATCATTTTCTAAAACAAATAGATTGCTGATATATGGGCATGTCAAAATTAATTTTGTGGCACGTTTGATTATCTTTACACCTTCTTTTTTTTTTTTTTTTTTTATTTCTTTCACATCGATTCCAATTGTGACTTTTAGTTGATCTCTCTCCCTCTCTTTAATTATCTTCATGATTGCCTTGTATACACAAAAGGGTGACAGGAGGACAAAGACTCATTTCTTATCGTACAGTTCTATTGTAGAAATAATATACGATGAAAAATGCCATTTGACAGCACTTCGTACGTCTTTTTCTTATCAATGTATTAAAAAGACGGCGACATAACTCCACCCTATTTTGTGTTCAAACGATTTGCTTTTTCTTAAAAAAAAGAATAAACTAATTTTGTCGTCATTCTCATATTTCATAGAATACAAAAGAAAAGAAAGTCGATGATTACACCATTCGATACTGATAAACTTGTGACATGAATCAATTCAAGCATGAGACTATATACAAATAAAGTTGATCTATTGAATTATATGTTAGTTATTATATTGTCAGATCTTCTTTTCTTGACCGACCATGAATTACGAAAAGAGAGAGAGAGAGATAGAAAATTGACACTGTCTTTTGAGTATATAATCTTTGATGAGACTATCTAAAGAAAAAAAGAAAAAAAAACACGAGATGATACATATCTAGACATGGTTTCAGATTAAAAGTTTGAATGAGTAATCACTAGAAATGTTTCATTGTCTGATTATTCACTTAAGGCATCTCTAAGTATTTGCTACTTATAAATGATCATCAAAAAAACATTACCGCTTTGATTATGTAATAGAGATACCTAAACAGTCTATTCGATAATGTGTTACATTACTATCATTATGTTTTTTAAACTTCAAATCAAATATTAAAACACAGTCAATCATCACATTTTTAATAAGAAAGATTATATATATATATATGATTTTTTATTGGTTTATTGAAAAGAAAAACTGAGAGAGAGAGAAAACTGATTGGACAAAAAATTCTTTTTCTCTTCCACTACCTATATGTGTTAATCAGAGAGAAATAAATAATTGACTTTTTGTTGCTTCTTTTTTTGTTTTTTTTCTTTGGGCAACTCAATGATGAAAAGTGATAGAAGAAAGCGTAAGTAGAAAAAAGTTTTAGAAAATACTGTCTTCTTCAAAATAATTCTAGTGTTGAATAATCATGATTCAAAATAAACAGTATACATATTGCCATAATCCTGTTGTTCATTCACATGAATCTATTCATCGATTGATGATACCATCAACATCAGAATTGATCTATGAACAAAAAGTAATGAATAATAGTATTAAGGCTATTGAAAATTTTCTTTTACAGCAATCTTATACTTGTTGGCCATTTCATCAACAAGATCTTCATGTAAGTTGAATAGATCAACTATCAATGGGCGATCTAGGATTTTGGAAAAGAGCATGGATCCATTTTGTAGAGATCTGCATCGGAGTTAACTAAATATCTCGCTAATAAATCATATTTAATATAATAGGGTTTTTGAATTGTGAGTTTTATTCTTGGATATTCACTGTACAAAATGATATGTGGTTTCGGAATTCGATTAGTGTCTTTACGAGGTTTACATCCATAAGAAGAAGCTAGAATCAATCTCGATTTCGATTTTTACCAACTTTTATAAAGCCCTGAGATGACGTAAATCGAATGTTAAAGTTGTACTAGAGGTGTGAGTATAGAAAAGTAAAAGAGAATAAATTTGATTTCTCGTGAACCTATGTTTTCTACTTCAAAAAATCAAAAAAAATAATTCAGAAAGGAAGAGCGATCGCTTCCAGTACCATCCATTAAATCCACCGCTGTCAATTATTTATTTTTATGATTTATATATATTTTTTCTTGTAGTTACCATTTGTGTTTCCATATACTTCACAAACAACATCATCATTAAAAACGATTGATGAACGAATCTATCCGATATCAAATTCAATTATTACTCCAAGAAAACCTTTTCAATTAAGTATAACTTGTGTTTAAATTTTTTTGTTTTCTATCAATTATGAATATCATTCATTTTTTTATTAGTTTCTCAAAAGCAACCTATTACTACAAATACAAATAAATCTTCTTCATTAAGTTTTTCTATTGAAAGAATTTTAGGTGATAATACTTTGACAAGAAAAACATCAGTATCACCTTTATCAACGGCAACAACAATTGTTCATAGGCGTGGTCATAAATCTTTACCATATCCATTACGGAAAGAAAATGGAAAAATCATTTATGAATGTGTACAATGTCATAAAACATTTAGTCAATTATCAAATCTTAAAGTACATTTAAGAACTCATACAAATGAAAGACCATTTGCATGTACACAATGTACAAAATCATTTACACAATTTGCTCATCTTCAAAAACATACACTTGTTCATTCAGGTAAAAATATTTAATTATTTATTGTTCTTAATATTCTTGTTTCTTTTTTTTTTGAATATCTTCGGTATCAAAATAGGTGAACGACCATATTCATGTCCATATTGTCCAAAAAGATTTTCATCAACATCAAATTTAAAAACACACCTTCGTTTACATACAGGTGATAAACCATATCTATGTTCCAATAGTTCATGTTCTGCACGTTTTACTCAACTTGTCCATTTAAAATTACATAAAAAGATTCATTTAAATGAACAAACTATTTCATCAACGTCGAGTAATATTAATTTCAATTCAATCTTATAAACAAACATATAAATATATCTACCTATCTATATATATATATATATTGGTATTTCTTAATAACAGTGTACAAGCAATTATCCTATTTTTTGTTTCTTGTTATCATTGTTTCCTATGTTTACACAAACTTAAATAATAAAATTGTTCTCCAATGTATATATTTATTAATTATCTTAATCAGATAAGAAAATGAGAGTCTTCATGAAGATTCGATATGATGTATTTTGTTTTATTGAGAACTAAAATATATTTTTTTACAAGCAGAGCATACACTTTATCATATCTATTTTACAGGTAATTTTTTTATTGATATCATCTATATGGAATAATAGTATTTGGTATTGTTTCGACATTCATGTCATTTATATCTTAGTATTTAAAATCTGAAAATCAGCTATTTATTTTTCATCTTAACCACTTTTTAAATACAATATTTTCTATATATATTGTAGCATGAACAAGTTTACATTTGTACTCAAGTAGGTTGTATACGATTCGTTAGTGCAACAAAGAAATCTAAAAAATATGAAAAATTCAATTGAAGTGTTCGAATCATAGTTGATACATCATCATATCCAATTCTATGAGATCGATCTGCAGAAGTTACGAATAAAATAATAGGAACCTAATAGTAATTATATACAATGATCGTGTAAAATTGACAGAGAAATGAGTATCATAGACTAACAGAGATCATAGTTTTACGACAAACTACAATATTTATCTACTTTTAGTAACTCTTAAGAAAAGGAGTAATCTTTTATAAAAATTTAAATTGTAACTGAATAATCGAAAATTCTACTTAGATTGCTGTTTCGATGCTACAAATGAAATGGGTCGAAGTTCGATGTTAGATATAAAAAATTCAAATCTTGTTATCGTTAATATTAATGTAACATCGAACAACAAGTTTGTTAGCAAACTATTACTTTTTCGCCTAAATTTGTATCTGATTAGCTCATATTTGTCTGCACTATTTTGACTCATGATATCATAGATGTATGAGTTTCCGATAACGAGCGAACATTTCTAAGTATTGAGTAGATAGTCTTCGAGTATCACTCGATTTTAAAATGTGGTGCGAAATTACGAATGTGGATTGTCGAAAAAATCGGTATCTCATAAAAGAAATGAATAATCGTTTTTTCAATGAAAAGATATTTACATTTTATTTGAATCAGGCTTTTATTATCGTGATAAATCGAAAAATTATGTTTCAATCAATCAACTGATTCAAGCATAGAACGAATTGAAACGCAGACATGATGAAATTCATCACTACGAGAACTGTATCAACATGTTTCGAAGGAACGCTATTGGTTGATCGTTTAATTATCTATTTGAATTATTATTTATGATCAGCTATCGTTACAACTATATACCAAGTGACTGAGCTGACTGAGATTTATCCATATTGTGCCTTCCCATCCGGCTGGACTTTTTTTAATTTTTGCTTTTTTTTAAAATTAATCAGAAAACTGATTTTTCTCACAAATCAAACACCTTTTACTGATATCAAAAACTATTTCTATATGGGAACATGCATCAGAGTATTCTAGTAAGTAAAAATTCATCATAATATACTTAATACATTTTAGCTACTCACTTTGATAATATTTTTTGTATATATTTCGTGCAGGCATAAGGGATAAAAGAAAAGCAAATATAACCTGAAAACTAGATTAAGTTCAATGGTAATTAATAATATCCATGCCTAACAGATATTTAACTACGTAGTGCACAAAACTAATATCGAATTTGCAGTCCTATCAAGTTTTCCGTTCACACGGAAAGAAGTTAAGAGAGAGAGAAAACTTATGAAAATAAATAGTGAACAGCACTATAGTAGCGAAGCAGCACTATGATGTTATTGGTGTAGTCATTAAGAAACTGATAAGACTCATCAAGGATTTCATGCCACTATTGTAGAGTCAGAAAAATGAAAAATAACTCATGCTGGAACCGATAAGGAAAAATTCTATCAATTCCAATAAGGAATCCTAGCAATACAGAATCGACCGATCTCCCATTGAAAAAAAAACTATACAATAAATTACTATTTATACATATACTGGACAAAATTTAATAAACATCTAAAAATCTTGGCAGAAGCATATCAATATTAACTGAATTTTATTTCATATCCTGCTGCAAAAACTCCTCACATAAATTGGTACCTTAGCATAAATATACACAAAAAAGTAAATTTTTGAACTGCTTATCAGTGAGAGCATATCATTTGAAACTTAATCTGTTCGAGTTTTTGGCCTTTCATCCACAGTAATATAGATACTTTAAACATGCAATCTTTCTAACATATCCTTTTATCAGTCAATAAAGTTAGCAGTGGATTCGCGGCTTTTGAGAGAACATTCGTCAACAGACTTGTACCAAAAAAGATACTAGCTGTGTCTGATAGTGTACAGAATATACTTCCAGGTACATACTTTTCCAGAAACTTCTATTGAGAATATTCCAAGAATTGTACGAATTAAGAATCTATTTGTGCTAGATAAAATTTGATGAGATCTATCGATTGATACAAATATAATCTTGTTCATCAGCAGCGTAAAAGTCTAAGTGGCTAAAGACTAGTAAGACCAGGGTTTTAAACACATGTCATGACCAAACATTCATTTCAACAGTAGCACAAATGAAGAAACCGTCTGTGTCACATAACAACCGATGAGATCTCTCGATTGGTACCAAATTTGACCTTGTTCATTGACAGACTGAACGTCTAAGTAATCAAAAACTAGTGGAACTAGCAATTTCAACATATCTGATCACCAAATATTTATTCAAACAGTTGTTCCAATTGAAAAAGCGTGTGAACATTCTTTTCATTCTCACGTCGACATCTATCCTGACTCCCACGTGTACTCTGACACTCAAGAATGAATAACAACCGTATCCGAAATAAATAAAAAAGGTATATAACGACTTATAAAATGTAAAGAATCGAGATTATCATATTATAGATTTATTTTCTTGCTAGTAATATTCATTGTTTCTATAATCACAATGAGCATTCGTGTTGGTTTTGTTGTGTCGAGCTAGTTGTTTTAAAAATTTCAGAAGCGAAACAGATCTATTTCTGTTTGTATAAACCTAACTTATTGAATTTTAGTCTCTATTTACTCGAGAAGGAGAACATTTTTCATCTCATATTCTCTTCTAGGTGCAGTTTTTCAAGATATCGTTTTTGAATAAGAATAGCATTCTGTATAATTATAATAATCTATCAGCAGATAAAAATATATAATCTATTTTTGTTACGAATAATCTTGATCAAATTTATTTAACTTCACCAATGCTCAATAAAATAATCTGAAGAATATTTGGAATTTATTATTCTTCTATCATCATCTTTATTTGATTGTCGTACAACTATACATCGATTATTCCAACAATTATATGGTCATATTTGTTTGTCTAGCAATAAGTCATATTTTGTTTTCTCTACTTTTAAATATTGAAAACTAATTAAACAGCTGTCAATTCAATGGATGATTGAAAAAGAATCTGAAATATGTATAATAATTGGTAGAGTAAAACATATTTTATTATTTAATAAATAATTCTTTCCAGTCATTTTCTCTCAATTCTTAAATAAGTTTCAGAAGTATATCCTTAAGTGTATAATTTTTTCATTTAAAGACATACGTGTATAGATACCAGATAACCGTTCGAAATGACTCGTCGCTTTTCGCCTGTTATTTTGTCTGTAAATAGTAGACTTTTAGACTAGGAAAAGACTAAGATAATATAGATCTTTGTTGTGATTTGACTGAGATAGAGAAGTTCTACTGAAATTTTCCTACATGATTCTGGGTTTTCAGCAAAATAATTTTTTCAAACTTTCACATGAAGTTTTATACATATCGAGATCACAGCTAGACTAGTTTCTACAACAATTTTCAGAACTCTTCCACGTTACATAAATGAGCTATGAATTTTTTCAAAATATTCACGCTTTATACAATATCTAGGAAGAACCGCCTATAATTTCGACATATTCACATCTCGGTTATGCTAATTAGAATAATTTTGAAACTTTTTATAGAATCTAGCATAGCTGTGGTCTCGATATTTACAAAATTCCATGTCAAAAATCGAAAATATGATTTTGTTGGAAAACTAGAATCCTACAGAAAGGCTTAAGTAAAATTTCTCTATCCTAGTCAACTAACAACATGAATCCGTATCATCGTCGACTTCCCATAATCTAAAGATCTTCTACCTAATGAGCAAAATGTAGAATCAACAGCGGCAAATCACTTCGAAAGGTTTTCTCATTCGTCAAAATGACGTCCCTTGATATATGTATATGTTATTGGTTTATTTTCGATTCAAATCGAGTTTTTTGCCGTAGTTTGGTTTTCTCGCTTTTGTTATTCATTTTGTCATAAATAGTTGAGCTAAGACTGCAAGCAATGTTTTTGAAGTTAATGATAACCGTACTAAATAGAAAAAATTCAACAGATTCCTATTTGTAAATTATATATTAAACTTCATTATTATGATTGATTGTTTACTATTATATATTACTATTACTTAAGTCTTCTTTCTATAAAATATTTTTCTTATTTCATTCAATGATCGATACCTATTTAAAAAAGTTATTTCCTTTTATAGTCTGAATAAAGTCGATATTGCAAAAAAAAAATGTTTAGTTAATTTGTACATGTACACAATGAAAAAGAAAAAAGTCAGAAAAGAAAAAGGAACGAAAGTGCACAAAAGATAAATACATACAGAAGAAAAGAAAAAATGAAGGAAAAGTCAATGTTATAATAAAGGGAATACACAAGGCATTTCTTTTTTTTAAGCGAAAAAGAAAAAGGTTAGGAGAAATATCGAAAGAAATGTTCAGCTTTTCTTTTGTATTGGTTTTATTTACAAAAAAAAGAAGAAAAAAAAAAAAAACAAAATTAGTTGTATTTATGTCATTAACATGAACATCCGTTTGTCTTTGGTTGTTCTTCTTGTTGTGGAATACGAATTGGCATTGGAAAGTCAGTTTGTTGATCAATTTCTTTTTCACGTGCTAATGCATTACGTGCAACAGTTTCAAATGCTTTTTCAACATTAATACCTTCTTTAGCAGATGTTTCAAAATAAGGAATATTATTTTTCTCTATAAAAACAAGAATTTAATTCAATTATATTCATTAATAATATTTACCTTGACACCAGTTTTGTGCCTTACGTGTTGGAATCTAAAACATCAAAAAGAACTACAACATATAAGAAAAAAAACTAATAGAAAAATTTCTACCATTCGATTTTCCAAATCAATTTTATTTCCAATAACCTAAAAGCTGATTGTTTGTATTTTTTTTTTGTTCTAAATTATATAATAAAAACTTACGACAAATGGAAAATTTTCAGGATCACGCGGTCCAGCTTGAATAAGAAATTCATCTTTCCAACTTTCTAACGATTTAAATGATGTTGGTGATGTTACATCCATAACAAGAACACAACAATCAGCACCACGATAAAATGCAACACCTAAACTTTGAAAACGTTCTTGACCTGCTGTATCCCAAATCTACAGAAAAAACAAATATATATATTTTTTGTTTTCAATTATTTTAAAAGAAAAAATTCTAACCTGCATGGTAACAAGACGATCATCAATTTGTAATTCCTTCGTTAAAAAATCGGCACCAATTGTTGCTTTATATTGATTTGAAAACTAAAAATAATCATTTAAAAAACAAAAACATTTATTTTGAAAGTATGTTTTTACTTTTCGATTAACAAATTGATTCATTAATGATGTTTTACCAACACCTGAATCACCTAATATAATGACCTTGAGTAAAACTTTTTTTCGTGAAGCCATTTTTAATATTATCTCTAAATATCAATTTTTAAAAGAATCAAAGTAAATGTATATCTAAAGAAATAAAAATTTATATTATCTATTTGATTTCTTCAATTTTCATTCTTCTTTTTTGTTATTATCAGTGTAATGACGAACAACGTCAGATAAAACATATGACGAAAAATACCAACGTCTTATATAGACAAAAAATGATCATCAGACGTTCCGTAGATTAACAATCTCAATCATTTGATTGTTGCTTGAAAAAGCATTGGTTGAAAGAAACGAAGTATGCGCTTACTAACATGCTGTACGCACTTTTAGTAAAGCAACGGTAGAGGACGCGACAGTCGCGATGCGCGTGCTTCTGAGTCAGTCCATCTTAACAGCGACGCTGAAATAAAAATGATTCATTATCCGCTGAGAAAAGCCTATTAGTTAAAATACTGTTTAAGTTAATTTCATTGGTTTTTGCATCTGCTGCCATCAATAAAAGAAATAAACGATTGAATAAATCAACTTAAATATGTACAAAATACGATTAAAAATTTTTGTTTTTACTTCACTTCCTCACTCACGTCTGAATCATGTATGATTGCATCAGATAAAAACAACCAATTAAATAAGATCTGATATTATTAATAAATATTTTTTTTTCAATGTTGATGATATTTATTTGAATATGACTTAATTTTCATATGAACTAATTTAACGATCTGTTTCGAAAGATATATTCATTTTGTTATATATCGTATTAAATCTATAATATTTTAAACACAAGCCTTTGAAAACACTCCTGTTTTTAGAATTATGCACTACTGTATAGAAACTATTTCAAGTATAAATGACAATTATATGTATACTACGACTTAATGCAATATTTTTTTTGATTATTAATATCATCAATCAATGTACAATGGTAATTAGAAAATGATGCACGATATTCAATATTTATGATTTTTTGCAATCAATGTCAAACCAGTAACTAATAACTGTTCTAGAAAATATCCTACGTATTTCATTCATAGTGTATTTAAAAGATAAACTTTTCTGATTCATAATAATATGACATAAAATCCAAGAAAGTTTACTTGATGAAAACAAAACATGTTAATTTATTAGTTTGAATGTAATTACTAACCATCGCAATATGAAATAACGAGAGGATTGTAGCGTTACACTTTTTCAATTTATTTTTCAGTCTGTCTGTCTGTCTATCAAGATAACAAAATGTCATTCGTATGATTTTTACACTTATTAATATATTTTTAAAAATTTTCTATTTAATTAATAGACAGAAAACCAAAAATAAAGTTTTTTTTTCTCTATGCATGAAGAAAACAAATTCTCTTGCTCATAAATCTGAGCACCATCTATCGTCAAACCACATTCATATATATATATATGTATGTTTAGAGTTCGTCAATTATTGGTTATGGTTCATAATATGACAAGAAAATAAAATATGGAATAAAAAAAAGAAATTAAGGTTTTTTTCTTATGAAGGAAAACATCAATTAATTTATTTTTATTTTTCATTTTTAAGATTAGCCAATCATTTAACTCAGAATTTTTATGTTGCTTATTTATTTAACATGATAACTTTATTTAATGATAAAAAATAAATCGGAAGAAGTTTTTATTTTTATTGACTAAACATTAATTGGCATTATAAATAGAAAGAAATATTATTTATTAAAACAATGAATGATGAACTTACGTAAGAATTTTCGTTTGATAAATTTTATTTTTTATATTTATCACTAAATTAATGAACAAGATGTTAAAATTTTATTTTTTGGAGAGTTTTTAAAGTTTGACAACATATGAATATTTATTCTACTCAACCGAATATTCTCTTAGGAATTTTATAAATGGCGAGACATATTTCACAACCATTTCACAAACAAATTTTCTTCTTCTATTCGCTTTGATTTATAAATTCCAAATTCTTTCTTTTTTCTTCGCTCATAGTACCTAACATATTTCATATCATCTTCTTAGAACACAAGCAACACCAACACCTATTGTTCTAAAAATAAAAACCTACGATGATATTATTCTTCCTCATACCTCGTAAGCAGTTATATTTTCTTCAATATTAATTCAATTATTTCTTTTATATTATAAATAGTCGTTTACCAACAAATACTTTAAATGATACTTCTCAATCATCATTTATTTCAATTAATGAAACGTCTAATATTACAACAACATCACCTTCGATACTTCGTGTTAAATTAAAAAAACCATTTATTGATAATGATGATGATGATGAATATATAACGTATGAATAAATATAATAATGAATTTTTCTATTGAATATATCTTTTTAAATTTTAGTTCGAATTCACCAGATGTATCATCTCGTCCAGTAAAACGTAGTAAAAAATCTTTTACAAATGATATTCATATTAATAATATTTCTGAATTAAATAATAATCAGCAATCTAGTCAACAAGAAATGAACGAGTAAGAGATTTTATTTTTTTTGTTTATTAATTATAGTTAATTTGTTCTTTTTAAAGAATAAAACAAAATCATTGTACTATAAATGAACAATCATCGAATCCATCATTAATTCTTAAAATTCGTCGAGATAGTTTATCATCAACTATTGCGTAATTATATATGAATATTTATTTCTATCGATATACATTGAATATGTTTTAGAAATCGAAATACAATTGAAACTGATACAAATCCACAATTATTAGTTAAATTTAAACAAAATGAATATGGTGAATTAACAACAAGTACAAATTCAAATAATATTTCATCGAATTTAATAAATAATAATAATGAATATACAAATGGTTATAATAATTCATTACATGAACCATTAAATGTTCCAATAAAACAGGAAAATAAATCTCCAATTCAACCTCATATTACTAATATGTTATCAAGTTTAAATGATGATAAACAATGGAATAATCATCAAATAAATAAAAATCATATTTCTCAACAAACAACGACTACTAAGTATAGTCACTTTTTAAGATAAATTTTTTTTTTTTAATATTTATTAAAACTAACGAATAGAATGTATAAAATAGATCGATGAAATTAAGACTAAAATTAAAATTTATTAGAATTCCAAGAGAATAAGTCATCAAGACTAATGAGGAAAGTCTTCCAATTGATTAATCGCTTTTGAACTGAGGCTATGTACATCATGTAAAGTCTTATAAGCTATGAATATTCTGAAGAGAGTTGAAACTTTTGGCTTATTGCTTCGGAGACATGGCATTTTTAACGTTATTTTTTCAAGTTAATGCCATAGTCTCGCTCAGAAACATCAGAAAAACTGATTTTCAAATTTCGACTTGAAACTTTGTACAGAGATAAACTTTACTATGTGTAACTTATTTGAGAGTTTAAAAAATGACTATGATAAAAGTGTCTTTTATATCGTTCATATATACCGACAAATTCCAATGTTCTTATTTCAGGAAAGGAGCAAAATACAAGATTGAAAACTCTCACAATAACCTATTTTGATTAAGATCTATTCCTGTGCAAAGTTTGAATTCGAAATTCAAGAACGAATTTTCCTAATGTTCCTGTGGGAATTACAGTATGAGATTAAAGACTACTGTAAAAATGCAGTATCTCTGCAGCAATAACTCAAGGGTTCGAACTCTTTGTGGAGTATTCATAGCTGATTAGAATTTACATGATATACATTGCTCTAGCTCAAAAGTGATTAATTAGCTGTGGGACTTTTCTTTTGATAGCAAAAAATTTGAATCCTACTTCTTTTCTAAGCTGTTGTTGAAGATTCTTATAATAACAATAATAATCAACATATGCATAATTGGAAATTCTGTGCAAAGCAATAGTCATATTAGAAGCGACAGAACACTTTAAAATATAGTGAGATTTAGCTAAAAGTTGTCTTTGTCTTTGTCTTTAAAGAAAAAATTTCGTTTACATTGAGCTGAACGTAACTTGAATGACATAATGCCTCAAGCTATTTAATATTATTTTTATGACACAAAGTCTGCTTTATCTTCCTGTTCGAATGATTTTAGTTTTTGATCTCCAGCTGATCGAAGCTTGGATGACGGTCTATCTAAGCCTTTTTGTTTATATCAAAAGTTTTGACAAATTCTTGAGATCAAGCAAAATTATTCTATTAATATCAGAAGCAAGTTGATCTATTAGAAAAATTTTGCTAGTCTTATCAGTAATGTTGAAAATCAATTGATAACTTGTCGATTGAGTTTTTTTTCTAAGTTAATCGGTATTAAGTCGACGCAAAAACGATCAGTACAGATACAGACGTCAACTAGTAAAAAATCGATTGATACTATATTAATCAATAGATTTCCTATTTACATAAATGGTTATCGATGTAGTTCTTCAGAAAGACAACATATGGACAACACATTATTCATTGGGTTTTTGTTAGGAGCGACCTCTTTAATTTTGAGACCTGTTTTCGATTGATTTGGTAAAACAAAAACAAGATATTTTTAGAATATTTCATGATTTACGTAGTTTTTTGCTGAAATTCTTCTTAAGAAACTTTGAATATTTTTTTTTTAATTTTCATACGTTGACAGAATCCGATGGAATACAAATGATGCACTGAATAGACCAACTTTTACATTACACTTCATATTTTCAAGATTATTACGATTTACGAGGGAACATTTTCAACTGAAAAATCGCTTTTGGGTGCGGACTTTGTGCATAAGGTAGATCACAGTGAGTTATGAAAAACTCCAAAAGAATAAGTGCCATTAGACCATCTGTCCAAAGTTATAGGCATTTCACTGGAATTTCAGTCTATGGTATGATATATATATATCAACAAATCGAATGACGATATTTCGATTTGAGATTTTGCCAATGGACAGGTCTATTTGTGAGTAGAATGTTCTGAAAATTTTAGTTCAAAAGAATGTTTCCTTCCTGAGATATTAAAGTCCTAAAAATCACTTATATCTAACAAAGGATGCTAGAATTTTCTATTTTTTAGAACTTTAATACCTTAGGAAGAAAACATTATCCTTTGGAAGTTTTTCATACCTTACTGAGGTCTACCTTATGCACAAAATCCAAACTCAGAAGCGATTTATCAGTTGAAAATACTCCCTCGTTAGATAACTTATCACCTGATATGGGAAGCATGAGTTAACAAATGTTTTCGCATTTTGTTAAAAGTCTATAAAAACGAAAGAAGAGGTCGAATTGAATTAGATATTTTCAATTTCAGTCTGAAAACTGAGTAAGGTTAATACTTTTATTAAACACAAAAGTGCGTGATGCTTTCTGTATTTTGAGAAAAGACAAATTAGGTTAATAAAATGTCATGAACTTACAACGTTGTAAAATGCTAACATTAATAGAGATCAGAAAAATGTAGTCTTTGTAATCCACGTATGAATAAAAATGTACGGTTTACATTACATAAATCTTTCAGTCTGTTGAAAGATTTATATGCCATATATAATTAATAAATACATCAATAATCGAAATCATGATGTATATGCTATGTAGACTTTTTTTTAGAAAACTAATGCTAACCAGATTTCATAGCTTAAGCTATCTATAAGTATTGAAGTTGTAGATTTACTCAGAAAAGTCATGCCAATAGTAATAAAAAGCGAAGAAAAGCAGTGCGATTGAAACAATCATGAGTAATACATTTTGACTAGTGAGCAATTGAGAAATTAATCTATGTCTTGACATTAACTGATGTTAATATAAAAGGAGATGCTGCTCGTTGCTAAGACTAAATAACAAAGTCGAGCTGCCATCGTTTTTTTAATTCTTTACTTCGCAATAAAACAAGAATACCATTAAAAAGTTTTTCACTATTACTTCGTAATTTGATTAGTCTTTGTATAAGGCAGCGAATTTAGATAAGGCTCGAGATTATAATCTTTGATAATCAATAAGATACACTTAGCACTAATCTGACTGCCGTTATTCTAAGGGTTCTTACCAATTCGATGGTATTAAATCCATCATACTGATTTGCGTACTCTTCTTCTGCCCAGAATATAAGGCTATGCGTTTTCCGAAAGCTTTTTTCTGAAGTTCAGCTGATTTTCTACGGTTTTAACATTTTAAGAATTTAGTTTTTGAATAAAAAACCTTTTTTGTAATTAAAATTACTATTTCCTCTATTAGAAATCCAGGTTTTTTCGCATTTATTTGTTAAAATGGGGGGGGGGGGGGGGGGGGGCCCCAGGGTTTTTTGAAAAATCCTTGGTTTTTTAGGGAAAGGGGAGCAGCCAATTAGCTAGGAATAGAAGGCGGCTTTGGAAGAAAAGATGCAAATTTCCTTGATAGAAAGTCATCACTTTTTACTTCAAGGGAGGGAAAGCTTAGTAAATTTTCACCCCTAACACTACTGAACTATTGACGATAGGTAAAATATCAGTTATTCAAATGAGAAAAATCAAAATTGTGAACATGTTACTTTGTTGCCAATTGGTGGAGGTTGAAATAAAAGTATGATACATCAGCAATACTGTCGTCTTTTTTTAATATTTTGACTTAAATCATATTTTCTATTACATTCGGTCTTCACGTTTGCTTTCTATACAGGATTCCAGATTAGAAGGGCTTTTCCTCGTCCTTGCTACAGTGTCCAATTTTCTGCCAATTTTTTTAAATATCTTCATGATAATTTTTCGACAGCAACCAGACTTTGAAGTATCATTTGCCTTTCTTTGGTAGCAAAGTGAGATCGAAAATAAGTAGACAGAATCATTGCCAAGTGAATGGGATTGAGAAGGGACGGCCTGGTAGCAGATTATCTATTGTGGGAGAGTGTCTGGTCACGGTGGATTTCGTTTTTGTCCCTTCCCGGTCGCTACTTTTAACATTCCGAGAATGAAAACATTTCCTACCGAATTTTTAGCTCCCTCCACTTCTAGAAAATATTAAAAACAAAGAAAATTTTCTCAGTCCGTCATGCTGATGACAATAAATTAACATATATGTTTTTAGTCATGTTTCTATGGATGTTAATCCTACTTCTTTTATGTTGCCAACAACAACGACAACAGCATCTGAAAAGTAACGTCTATCGTTTATTGCTTTTATTTAAATATATACAATATTGAAATTTTGTTTTATAGTCATACAAAAGAACTTTTAGATGAAGCATTAGATAGTGTAAAAAGTGTTTTAATGCAAACATTTAGGAAAAATTTAGAAGCGGGCGGTGATCTCAAGTAATTATATATTTACAAAAAAAACCATCATTTATAAAGTTCTTCTTATCGTTTCTTTTTCAATCTAGTGCTTTAAAAAGTACTTTAGGTTCAGATGAAGTAGCCGAAGTATTTCTATCAAAATTAAGAGAATCACTCAAACGTGAAACAATATCAACAATAGAGAATGAACAAAAATCACAAGAACATCAAAATACGAATACAGAAATTCGTTCATGTCAAACAACTTCTCTATCTACTCCTTTAAATACAATCATTTCACCAATAATGAATGTTGTTTCACCTTCACCATCATCATCACCTCTTCCATCAATGTCAACAATAATTACGAAAAATACTTCACCATCAACGTCAATACCTTCATCACCTCAACCACCAACAACAGTTAATAATAAACGTAAATCTTCCAATCCAACAACAAATCCAAATCGTTTTGATGGTACAACAGAAGAAGAATTATCAAAACGTTTACTTTCAGATATTCTTCAACCTAATCTTGATATTGTTTTTGTATGTTATTTTATTTTATTTTTTACTTTAGATATAAAAACAAAATATATTGATCTATTTAGGTCGGTATTAATCCAAGTCTTTATGCTGTACATAAAGGACACCATTATGGTGGACCAGGGAATCATTTCTGGAAATTACTTCATATGTCTGATTTAATTCCAAATGCATCTACTGCTGATAACGATTTTCGTATGCCACAATATGGAATTGGTTTTACAAATATTGTACAACGACCAACTAAAGCTGGATCAGATATTACTAAGTAAAAAATACATGAAAGAAAAACAAACAAATTGATTGAATGTTGTTTTTTTGTTATATATTCTAGAGATGAAGTGACTGCTGGAGCTGAAGTATTAATGCAAAAAATTAAAATGTATCGACCAAAAATTGTTGCATTTAATGGACGAGGTATGTTTACATAAAAAACAAAAATATTAGCGCAACTCCTTTGAGGCTAAAATATGAAATTCACATAGGTTCCCTAGTCTCATTATACTAATACAAAATACGTTAAATGTAAAATCTCTAGTAGACTATAGTTAGTTTCTCAAGGATAATCGATCATCAGCGAAACAATCTGTCTTATTTAGTTTTGTATTTCGAACAGAAATTTTCCAGGTCTTTTTTAATGGCGCTCGATTTCTGTTTCTCTTGTTGCTATTTACTTTTTGTTTTTCATTTTTGTATTCCATTTTTCCTAATAATTTAACATTAATCGTTCAGAAACACTGATATTGATTATCATCCAAAGTTATAACTTGATTAGTTCACACTTTTTATTTTGATCATATAATGACTTTGGCAAATCTATGTATCATTACTAAAAATGTATCGAAGGAAAATTCAGAAGTTTGCCGAGACCGGGACTACGACAAAAAAGCTGTCGCGATTGAAACTAGAGATTATAGTTAAAAGTTTTTTAGTTTTAAGCTAATTATCTATCAGAACATAATTCAAGAGAGATGACCCTAAAAAGTGCTAGTCACAGACAAAATATATCAAAAAAATAAGTTTTGAAGAATTTTTTAGATATGATACGAATAGAATTCATAAACAATTTTTTCTAGATCGAAACCAAATCAGGGCCGGTTGAAGCCTTACTTTCAGCGCCTTTTTTTTCTTAGCTAAGAGTCCTGAAGAAGAAATCTGACACCTACTATTTTCGATTGGTATGGATACGTACCCAATGATATTTACTTTCTCTCCCACTTGCTAGGGCCTATTTAAGAATGAGTCGCGAAAATCTTTATTTAAACTTTCAGTCACTATTTTATTCGAAAATAAGTATTGGCACCACAAAAGTCATTTTTATCATGAAGAATTAAGTTGTTAAATCTGAAATGTATTGAAAATTAATGAACACTATATGAATGATATTTCTGAGCAAAAGTTTTATTTGACCTTGGATAGATATTCAAAATTTTTTTTTCTTTATATACTTGAAAAACAAAAAAAAGTTGTCATTGATTAAATTCTTTATCTTTAACCTTTTTTAGGCATTTATGAAGTCTATGCAGGTAATAAACATTTTCACTATGGTAAACAACCTGATTTATTTCCTGGAACAGATACGGTTAGCAATAATAATCTTCTATAGATGTTCTTGTTTTTATATATTTATAAATATTTTTCATTAGCATGTTTTTGTAATGCCATCATCAAGTGCTCGATGTTCACAATTACCACGTGCTGAAGATAAACTTCCATTTTATGTTGGATTAAGAAAATTACGTGATTTTTTAAATGGTACATTACATTCATTAAATGAAGCTGAAATAACATTTCCAGATATAAAAATAAAAGATACAGATGATATTTTACAAAAAACAATTATACGTATAAGTAATAAACCATTTTCAGAACTTTCACCTGAAGCACTTAAAACATTTGGTGATAAAATTCCATCTGGACAAATGACATCAAAATATAACTTAGATACAGAAACAACTCAAACAATGTCTATTTTACATAATCAACAAAATGGAAATTTACTTAACTATGATCAACAAACATCATCAACAAATGGAATTAATTCATCAAAAGCATCATTTATAGAAAATACATCTTCGACTACACCAATAACTATGAATGATACAGATCAAGCTGTACTTGCTGCATTAGCTAATGGTGCATATGGTTCATCATCTCAATCACGACAACCTCAAACAATTTATGTTGGTAGACAACAACAGTCAGCGTCTTATTCAGGTTCGTCAGTGAAGAATACTTCCACAGGTAAAACTATTCTGAAGTAAAAATCAGAGTTGTAACTGGACTGATTGTACTTTTAAAACCGACAGGTTTTTTGTCTAAATTTCAAAGCACTGAAACTAGACTATTTTGCTCGTTTTTATCAATTTTCATGACTTAAAAGATTCCAAAAATATGAACTTGAAAGTCTCCAACTGATAAATTTCTAGTCATCATTAAAATTCTAGCTCTAAATATTGATGTCACAGGTTCTCATTGTACGGTAAGGGCTTCGGATTATGTTGAATTAGTTTATTATGTTCACAAAAAAGAAGTTAAATTCTTTCTAAAGTAATATATTATTCATTTAGAACTTTTGAGCTCACTTTTCTGGAGTAATTCTAATTGAATAGTGCACACTCTCTATGGCTAATAGTTTCTAATTCATTCTTTTGATACAAATATATAACGAAATATCCTGTTCTATTGAGACAGTTATATGAACTGCTAGAAGTCTATATCTAAGTTTTGATGTGTCTAAAAACATGAAGTCTAGTATAAAACTGTATTTTGTAGCTCATTTAATCTTCCTATCACTCTGGATACTGTTTTACAAATTGAGTAGCCTTCAGTTGTGTTTAGTAATGATTTCAAATAAGAATAGATTAAATTATTCAGTTCTTGTGAAGAAATCCTATCTTTAATGGAGAAAGTCAGACAAAACAAGCCATAGATGTTTTTCAAAACGGTAATTATTATTAGTTACTAAATAGAAACTTTTGAAAAAACTTACTGCGCTCTTAGTACGAGTGTATACGTAACGTGACAGACTAAAAGAATTAGTTGAGTAATTCATATATTAAACGAATCGATTTTTGCCCGTTAAGTCAAGGGTTTCACACAGTCGGTCCGCTAGAAACAAATCCTACTGGTTCCAAGTATGCAGAAGATTCAACTAGAAATTTGAATTCAGAATGTGTATAATTATTTGTTTTTAGTGAATAGTTTCATATCAACAAGATGAAGTTGATGTCCTTCTTCTTGGACAGTCAATGAAATGTAAACAAGCTGAGTTCTTTTTAGTTTCGGCCCGGCGAAAAAAAAATGATTCTAATTTTCAGAACTCGTTGGAACTGAGATCGGGACCAGTTTATGCATATGTGCATGGGTCAGTACAAAAGTTGTTTCGTTCGACTCTCCTAAAAGTCATAATTTAAATATAAATATTCTATTATCATCCATAGACATATTTAGGATTATTTGCAAAGTTTTAACCTTTTAGATTTTATGAATCCTTGTATTTTCCACTCATTCTTAGGGAACATTAGCTGAGTTGAGAACTCCGCGAAATAGGCTTCTTTTATCCTAGATTCGATTTAATTATTGATATAAAAAATTATAATTTCTTATAAAATGATAATGGAAAATTGTGCGCGGAGAGTTCAAACTCATATCGACAGTGACAAATGGGTAACATAGAAAAAAATGAGAAAATATAACAATACAAAAGACCTAAAAGACTGAAACCTTGTAAATACATAATCCTAAATATGTCTACGCATGATCACAGAATACTTGCATACAAATTATGATTTTTAGGGAATCGCGCGAAAGAATTCTTGTCGTATCCTATGTAATTTCGACATGTACGATTTTCACAAATAATCTAAATCAAAAATACGAATCTTCATGAACATCATTCATCTATTCAATATATCTGATCATGATTGAAGATGTGTAAGCTGATGGGATGAGTCGCTGTCATAATACAAAAATCGATATTTAAATTTGAATTCTTAATATGTTATCAACTAATTCCTTGTCGCTAAGTTCTTTACCATCATTTTCTCCTTTTCATTTCAAAATTTCTCCGAATGAAGAAAATTTTAAAGAAATCCATCGAACTATTTCAGCCGCCGCCACCAAAATCTAAAATTTTTATAGCAGTTGATCAATGCGCCAGCTAACATCTGTAATCATAAATGACTCTACTTTACAAATGTTTAATACTCATTATTTTGAATTTTAGCAGAACTTATTTTCTAAATTTATTATAATTTAACTTTTAGGTATAAATTCTCGTTCATCAACTCCACCATCCACATCACATACTATTCATCATTTACCACAATTATCTTCTACTGATCATCAAACTTCATCGATAAATTCTTCTTCGATTCCATTATTATCATCGAGTTCTCAGACTGTTTCTCATCAAATAGTTGTTATTAATCCTAAGGAACGATCATCTTCAAATAATTCAATACTTAGTTCGTCTTCACTAAAAGATTTACTATCTAGTCAACAACCAATACAAAAACAAACATTTATTATTCCAGCAAATCCATCTACTGTACAAAATTCATCAACAATAAATAATAATCTTTCGAAAACATCAATGACAACAAATAAACTTTTAAATAATACAAACGATGATTATCTATATCTTCGCTACGAACGTGAATTACCTTCAACACAAAATTCATATCATTTTTCTTATATTATTGATGAATATTCATCATCAACGCATAAACATGTACGATATGTTTCAATAAATGATTTATAAAAAAAAAGCAAAACAAAACAAAATTCAATTTGTGCATTATTCTTATTCTTCAATTGTTGTTCGTATATAGATTTTAATTTGTTGTCTCGTCAACAGAATCTCTTTGAATGAAATAAACAAATATTGTTTTTCTTTTCTTTTTTTTGATATTTGTATAGCAATACTATTTTTTTTTTCGTGCTTTCTATGTACGTGTATGTAATCTATTCTGTTACTCGGTGTATTTGACTCTCTCTCTCTCTCTCTCTATAATAGAGAAATAGAAATTATTCATCATGCTTTTGATCTGTGTCAAACAAAAACTAATTATTTGACTTTTTGTGTTTTTTTGTATATATTAGATATGAATAAAATGGATGATAATCATCGATATCATCCATACCATCGAACAAAAAATTATAATAATGATAAACGATATGATCATGATTATAAACGTCAATACAAGAAAACTAATAAACATCATCATGAACATTCAACATCAAGGCGTGATAATAGAAATTATGATGATCGACCTTATCGACGTTCACATCGAAATGATTATCATTGTCAAAATCAACAATCAAAATCGAGATCTTATACTTATTTTTCTACACCACCCCAACCATTAATGTCTGCTCAAATACCTCCGTTACCTCCACTTCTGCCACCTCTACCTCCGTCTCCGCCTCCACCTCCACCTCCACCTCCACCATCACTTACAGTTGTACCACATGAACGTGAATCATGGATTCGTTCAGTAAAAAAAACTAAAATGAATGAAGGTATTGAACAAAAAACACAATACCTAGAAACAATGCTTCGTATGCCACAACAACAAAAATCTCTATTAAATTCATCAAGATTTGATCGAATGCGTTTTGCTGACAAAAAATTACCGACCACCACCACAACAACAACAACAACAACAACTAATAATGATAATCTAGATAATAGTTCTTTTCATTTGGTTGCTGATATTAATAATCACGATGAAATTTTCACGATAGAAAAAATTTTATTTGATAATGAATTTAAACAATACAAGGAAATAGATGATAAATGTTCAAATCATGAATCATTACCAACACCACCACCATCTGTATGTAAACTTATATATTATGAAACATGATCTAAAAGGAATGTTGAAGTATATAGGGTAGAAATTTAGAACTCCGTTTTACAGACCATGACAGATATGTTAGCAACAATACCTTTCCATCTGCTACACAAAGCATGTCAGACATTGATCCAGAGAAGAATAGTACAAATTTCAATCTTGAAGTTTGCTACTTTCCCTTCAACTTGGATATACGATCACAGACCTTTAATTAGTAGCATCTCGCGATAATTTACAAACTATTTCATTATTGCATTTCTGAAAGATTGAGTAAAAAAAAAGGTGTCAAACAACAGATAGAATAAAACAATGTCCCTTTGATTAGCAAGAGTAGCTATATCGTATTTCACATTTTAATGTCATAGGAATTTTACAAACAGCTTTTCTATTGTTATTAAAGAAGTTTACATCTCATTGATATTTTAATGCCTGAAAACTTTGAAATATCTATATTTGAACGCTTATGTCCTGTTATCCATTGTGTTTATAGTATGATCAAAAGAAAACTTTTGTCACTTATGAAAAGTAATGTCTACAGTTATAAGCTTTAGTTTTTGAATGTTTTTGTTTTGTAGTAGATACAGCTGAAAAAAGAACTGCTATATAAAACTGTTTTCATTGTGAATACATTCCATCGTAAGTGAAGAGAAAGAAAACTTTCATTCGAGAACGAAATCATACTTTGCTAAATAACGAGACAATATTACGACCTGAAATTTTTAGACTATTTCTAGACGTTGACAACGGCAATATAAATATAAATTATTTTGAATTTTCGCAAATTTTCTATTATCATTAAACGTATCGATACAATAGTAATATTCCATATTTTTTGCGTAAAGGAGATATCATACTGATTTTGTTCTTTTGTTCAAAATGCAGAAATAATAAAGACACATTTTTTTCTTGATGATCGATTATTCTTGGAAAACAACTATAGTTTAATAGATTTTTTTGCACGCTACGTATTTTTGTATTAGTATAATGAGACTAAAGAATATATAGGAGTTCCAAATTTTACTTGCAAAAGGGCTGCGCAGACAAGTTTTTTTCTTGATAATTTCTATAGTTTATGAAAAGTAGAACGGATATTTTCATAAATCAAATGCTTTCTAATTATGGATTAGATATTTAAACATTTTTAAATATTGAATAGTCATAACTTACGAGAACATTTGTCCGAGTATTAAATTGCTTGTCGACCGAGACAGTGTTGATTTGACGAATGCTAACAAATAACAAAAAGTCCAAAATGTTTTAATTTTCCGGGTCTTTGTTCATGAGATATCGAAACTTCACTGACGAGGGAACATCGCCAACTGTCCAATCCATTTTGAGTTCGGACTTTGTGCAAAAGATAGATCCCCGTGAGGTATGAAAAACCCCAAAATATTAAATCCCCTTAGGCCTTCTGTCCAAAGTTATAGGCATTTTAGTGGAATTTTAGCCTATGGCATGGTATATACCAATAAATCGAATGACGGTATTGCGACCTGAGATTTTTGCCGACAGGCAGGTCTATTTATGAGTAGAATATTCTGAAAATTTCAGCTGAAAAAAATGTTTCCTTCACGAGATATTTAAGTCCCAAAAATGACTCATATACTACAAAAGATGCTAGAATTTTCTGTTTTTTGAGACTTAAATATCTCGGGAAGGAAACATTCTTTTCAACTAAAATTTTCAGGGTATTCTACTCATAAATAGACCTGTCTGTCGGCAAAATCTCAGGTCGAAATACCGTCATTCGATTTATTGGTATATACCATGCTATAGGCTAAAATTCTGGTAAAATGCCATTAACTTTGGACAGAAGGCCTAAAGGGATTTAATCTTTAGAGGTTTTTCATACCTCACGGAGGTCTATCTTTTGCACAAAGTCCGAACTCAAAAGGGATTGGACAGTTGGCGATGTTCCCTCGTGAGTTTTTCGTATTCCTCAAGTCACGTGAAAAATCGACTTTCGACTTCAAACTTTGCACGAACAAAGTTTTCAATGAGACTAGTTCATTAGATAAATTGCTTTTCTGAGATATTCAAAAATAAACGAAACTCATTAAGAATTTTGTTTGTGCAAAGTTTGAAGTAGATCTTGAAAGTTATTTTTCCACGTAACTTCAGGAGACTATAGCGCCTTGTTGAAAAAAATAGTAAAATTTTGATATCTTAAAAATGCAGACCCAGAAAACAAAATCATTCTAGACTTTTCTATTACTCACTAGTACTTATTAAATGAAAATCAGCTCGGTTGAAAAATGATTTGACACCTGAAAAGGTATTTTCGTCAATAGCTTTATATGATGATTTTCCAAATCATAATTTATCAACAACAATTTCTTTTTCTTATTCTATCTATTTAATAGATCGTTGAACATGAATCAACTTCACACAAAGATACACAGTCTGTTCCTTGTTCAGGCTTTCTTATTGATGATTGTGACGAAGAAGAACTTCCTCCAGTATCATCTCCACTTCGACCTCCTCTTCCTCCTCCTGCTACTGATGAATTAATAGAACAGAATGATGAAAATATTAATGAACAACGTGTTATGTTAGTTAGTGAACTTGATGCTGCCGATGCTGAACGAAAACAAGAGTTAAAACGTCAAAAACGATTGCATAGAAAATTACAAAAGAAAAAAGAAGAAACGAAACAATTAGCAATAAAAACTGAAGAACAACAAACAAACTCAACTGTAAATAATGAAGAACCAGAATTATTACCTGATTGGATTGTTGAATATGATGTTAATGGAAAAAATAAAATTTCACAATTAACTGATGAAGTTCGAAGAACATCAATAACGATGACTGATGAAGATAAAACAGCGAAAGTTAATATGATTTTAATGAAAATAAAAAAACAACAAGAAGAATTAAGAAAATTAAGACAATATGTTATGTCTATGTTAGGTGAACAACAAAAGCCTCAATCATCGAAAGTTCAGCAACAAAATTCTACTTTAGATCATGATTTATTAATGGCTTTTATCAATCAACCAATAAAATCTGGTTGTTGGCTATGCTCAGGAAAAATGTATGCTGAAGCAGCTACTCAATGTGATCATGTTGATGAACAGTAGTTATTGTTATTGATACTATTTATCGTTGAGTTTCTCTTTTATTTTAATTACCTTTTTCCTTTCCTTCGTTTCAATGTACAAAATATCTTTATGTATATTCGGTATTATAGACTTTACTACGGAAACATTCATATAAATATAGATAAATATACGAACCGAAGGTCTTTCTCGTTATTTCGTTTGTTATTTCTTTAATCTTATTAAATAAAGACTTTTGAACATTAAATTGAAAAATAAATAAGAGAATGATTATGCAAATAAACAAATTTGAGATTGATAAAATCTATTGTTAATATGATAATATAAAGTTTATACTAGTGTGTGAATGAATCAGTGTTTGGTATACAGATTATGCATGCTAACCAAAATATGCTCGATAAATCAAAAAGAGGATTAAGAAACAATGCATCTACTTCATAAACGAAGTTGTTTGGTGCAAATTAATCATCGAAATGAATCATCTGAATATTCGAGTTCAAGATACTTTAGTATTCTAGTAGAAAATTTAATTAGCATAATGAAGAATATGCTACTCTATGAAAACCGAGTATTAGAAATGAAAGCATAGAGCTTATTTCAATAATGATTCATTTTAATCGACCATCTGCTTAACTTCTCTTCCAGTAGATATAAATAGAATTATTATTTATCTCTTCACATATCTTTTGTTAAGGAGATCCTTCGCTCTCCACCTCGTTTCCTGGCTTTCTAAAGAACGGCTTATTAAATAATGTTAAAACTTTTTGGAAGCAATAGATTTCGATGCATAGAGTAAATATTATCCCAGACTCAAAATTTTTAGATTCTCTCTTGAAGCAGATTGAAGAGCAAGAACGAAAGGTATCCTTATCTTTCGGCTATTATGAAGTATGCAGTGCTGTCTAGTAGTAAATTCAGTAGTTCGATATTTTCCCTACAAACTAGATGGCAATCGAGTTCCACTCGATAGCGAAATACGGTGTGAAGCTACGAATAGTAATCATCGAAAATATCGATATCTCATGCAAAACGAACAATGATTTCTATGACTATTCGCACAACACTTTTCCTGGGTGATTCTAAAGAACACTATCGATTTATCGTTTAATTATCTATATGATTCATTATTTATGGTTAGCTGTCCTCGAAGCTGTAATGAACAAAATCAGCTCATTGAATCGACTGATAGCTAATTTTTATATTGTCTTCATTTTAATCACCGCAAAACTTGAAAAACAATAAAGTCTATCAAGAGGAGGAGTTCGATATGTACAGAATCATCCGCATCTCGTCATAAAATTCAATTTTATCTTACCTGTTTTGCCATTGTGACTATCGAAAATCTTTGATTAATAAAATAAGACCTTATAACGCATTCTGTACTGTATATCAAGTGACTGAGCTGACCGAAATTTAGCTATGTTTTATGTCCTAAAAAGATTAGATTAAAGAGTGTTTTCATCGAAAATATTTCATTTATCTGCTCATATATTTAGCCACTCTATAAAAAAAATTAAGCTATTTCAGCTCTCCATAGGATGGTGCACGAACGTATGAGAAATGATTATTTCTTGCCTTTCCCAATATAACGATGTAATTCATATTTCGTACCATTAATTGACTCAGATGATGAATATCACCTGGTGCTCTTCTTCAGTAATGGCAGGCCATTTCGAATTTCATCTCAATCGATAAATCTGACCAAGACCTACTAAATAATGCTAAGAGACCCATGAGAAAAAACCGAGAGGGTACATTTCTTTTTCAAAATACTCAAGACAGTTCTATGCTGAGAATTGCTATACATATGTTTAAATGATGTAATAGGAATTTCTGTTGATTGGTACGCATAGATCTACTCTATATTGCATACCAATCAATAGATCTTTTGTCTTGACACTTCAAAGTATATCAGGAAAACTTCATTGTCCAAAAATAAATCAACAGGTTTTTCGCTTTGTATTTTTTGGCCACTGTACAATCACAAACATTATGCATTCACAGTAATTTAAAAGATATATCTCACGTGTCGTGTTTTGTGATACGAGATACTTGTTTTGATACATTTCTCCCAGCAAACTTGCAAAATATTGTGAAAACGTGAGTCGAATCTACTTTTTGGTACGTCAGTTATTTTCTCTGGGAAATCGAATTATTAGTTTCTCGGTTTAATTTGAATTATCAGTGCCTACTCTTGGAATATGAGACGGTAAGATTCTAAGATCCAGTCATGTCAAGTCGATTTTATTTTGATCAGATCACTTCTAGATGGTTCAATGTCGATCATTGATCAATCTCTCAACATATTCCCGCCTAAATGTTAATCGAAAAATAATCTAGAAAAAAGATGTACGAAAATGAATAAGTTCAGTATATTTTATTGCCTTGGTTATATATTGCTGTATGCGCAAAGTACAACGATGAGTAAATGAGTAACCAATAGACCACGACACATTTTCATAGTAAAGCGTGTGACACATCTTATTTTAATTTGTTAGCTGAGCACAATGTGAGATTTCAAGTTTATCTATGATGCAAAGTATATCATGTATTTTTTTTTCTGAAATGATGGTCACTACAAAAATCGATGTCATTTGTATCACTCAGATCGTTTCTTACGGTACTTGTATAAGGCGTTTTTGCGACCAAGTTCAGATGATGGTATATAGACACATTTTCGACGTATACACATTATATTCTCACTGTATACGGTCATACTGTAAACATCCGTAAAAATAACAAAGCGTATGAAAAATCGGTCGTTACATCATGAAAAATTATTAAATGTTTTTGTCACATCAAACAACTGAATGCTTCAGAGAACTGATCCTTGAATAGTCGTTCGAATTTAACGATCTTTTCAATATGATGTTAATCATAGTAACTCGATAGATTTTCACGACATTAGATACTTGTGAATCAATGACCATGGAGAGAAATGGAGTGAATGTAATGTAAGGAAGAGTATTGAATTTCTTTTCAATGTATTTTGATTGATTCGAGCTCGTTAGCACAATTTAAAAAACCTAAGACAGACTGAAAAAATAGCTCTTCATAAGATCCAATTGCATAGAAAGAGAGCAAGGAAGAATGAAAAAGGCAATATTACGTTTCTTTCGGTAGTCCTTTATTTACATATTTTATCATCATATTTTCACTCAATGTACAGACACGAACGAAAGAAAAAAAATACCGATGGCATCAATAATAAAAATTGCTTTGTGTTTGTTTTTCTTTCATTGATTCCTTCGTTGTTTCGTTGTTAATGAACTTTGTTGTTGATCTATCTTGTCTGTCATAGTTGCATTTTCAGAAGAAATTCAAAAGAATCATACAGTGAACGTTACGGTGAATGTTTATTCAACGCGAAACAAACTTCTGTGTTAGAACAAAGACGTCTAGCATGCAATGCAATAATGGTTTTTTTTTGTTACTTTTGAATTAAGAAAGAGAGACTTCTATCTTCAACATCTCCACCGATTTCAGTTACAAAAATATCAGCTATTCTTTTCATTATTTGTCAATTATATACAAACATATATGACTCTCTTTCACATACATACAAGCAAAAAATAGTTATCATTTAATGCATGTTTCTTAATATGTTTCTCATTGGTATACGTTTATAATAAACGTAGTTCTAGTGACATATGTTTGCATAGGGCAGAAGTTTTTCTCATTGTTATTGTGGCATACATTAAAATATTGTGAATCTTACATATCAGCAAACAAAATGTGAATATTAGTTCTTTATGAATCGTAAGAATTAATGAAAGAAGAGCAGTTAATATATCATAAGAGAGCAAAATTTCTTTTTATTATACACATATTTCGAATGAATATAAATGAAAAATAACTTTAGCAAGATTGTAAGTGATTGATACATTCATTCTGTGCATGGCACGACTAAAACCTATAACTACAATTAGGCAGCTTCTAAATTATTGCAATACCTAACCGGTAGCAGCTTGCATGAGTTTCTATACTTAAATTAAATAGCAATTTATATAAAATGTTTGCTTGTTTGCTATATCAATGTGTAAAGTGCTCATTTAAAGATTTCATTCATTTTCAAATTGGTGATAGATACTTCGAACTTTCATTATTTTCAAACTCAAATTATGCGACTCATTATTACTCTAATAATCATGAGGTACGATACTTATCACTGAGGGTTGAGAACAATGAGAACCTATGTTTTACTTCAATCACTAGTTAATGATCAACAGTATATAAGGCAAGTAAAAACTGTTGTTTAATTGTTGCCTCAATTAAAATTAAAATGATGTTTCTTCTTGTTTCGTTCACATTTTCAGCATATTAATCATATGCATAATGAGAAAGAAAATCACACTAACGATATCCATCTTGTCTTTCTCATTATTGCTAGAAAGAGAAGAAAAGATTGTTTTGAAAGAGTCAAAAAAAAAAATATGCAACGTATTGAGACAGTATCTAATGCAATGGAACTTACATCATGATACGCATGAAGCGCAAATGAAAGTAAGAAAAAATAATCATAACATAAATGACGTTGTTGAGTTATTTTCTTCTGCATCTATTGTTGATAACCATATTGCTGATTGCAACTAGGTAGAGTTTGTTCTTGAGCATCAACGTAAAAAAGCGATCTACATTTGACGTCGTAGAAAAATCTAAAAAGCATCGGGCATCAATTGTATAAATGGAAAAGATGAGCTATGACAAAAAAGTAATATATTATTCATCATAATCCATTATCAATTGAACAGCAAATATTATATCGAAATGGGTGGACAAAAATCCAAACAAAATATAGCAGCCTCGTCGATTATCACTGGAGAAAGATGAGGCATGTGTAACACTCCCAGTTGATTGGATTTCATACATGATATTTGACCTTGTCGTGTCGTTCACTCGTATATTATACATTGTCCTTACCTTTCCATTTTTATGCTTCTGTCTTTACTCTATTGTTCTCCTATATGTGCTCTCTCCTTGGCCTCATCTCCTCTCTTTTCATCCTCTCTTACTCTACTTGCGTATATAAGCGTGTGCTTTTTATGTAAACGATACGATTATATGATATGAACGAATAGAATAAAGTGTAACACCATCAGCACTATCACCCCTTCTATCAGAAATCGTCACAGTATGGCTTAAAATTACTGGGTCATCTGGATCGATGGAAATATTGATATGGCAAATAAAGATTGTCAGCATACATTCACGCAATTAAGCGGTGTTGTCAAGCAAGTCAATCCTTGTACAACAGCAGAGTAATGCATTCAATGGCTCAATGAAAATAAAGATGAGACATCATTTGTTATTTACTCTGGTGCACTCGGATAACATCTCGTACCCGACAATCATGACATGCCAAAATTAGATGCCATATACATCTTTTGTGGCAATCAACAACGGCATGAAGCATGGGCCAAAAATTGGACAAAAATTAAAACTATTTACACAGCAATCATCTCCATATGTTAAACATTGTAAATGGCTATCCAGCAATGAAATCAAAATAATACAACGGTCAGTATCATTGGTGCCAATGAAGATGTTTCAAGTAAAAATCTCAATCAGATAAGACCATCCTTCATGTATACTCAAGTATTCAACGAAATCCTCCTTAATATGGAGCATGGTCAACAAGCCATCAAAGACTTGATCATGTTTTGCCAAAAAAGAGTACCGAGACAATACCAACGAATTCAAATTTATTGATGAATTTCAACACAATAATCATCCAACACTGCACAGTGGGCAACTTTCGCATAGCAGGCGGACATGCAATTTTTTTTGCTTGGAAATGGGTTTTTACTAGTCAGAATAAGTTATACATCACTTAGAAAATCACCTTTAACAAAATAAACCATTTTTTGAAAAAAGATGTTCTTCAATAATGATTCACTTTAAATATTAATATTCTTTCGAAATTTTTACTTAATATAAATGAGATTAAAGTATATCATGTGACGATGGTATCAAATTTAAAAATTCAGTGCATTTTTCGATGACTTTTTTTTCAGATGTTTAACCATGTCAACTTCGAGATGACGATAGCAAATCTATTAGTTTGCTTCTGAGCATGTTATAATTCTATAAATTGCCAAGTTTTTATTTATGAAATAGTGCAGTATATAAGTCTTTAATTCTAAAAACGTATGAAACTATTACTTTCAATTTAAACATATTTTCTATTGAAAAACGACAATTGTTAAACAACGATCAAAGATATAAATGCTTGTTGCACAATTAAAAAAAGTTACTTTACCAGACGATCATATTATAAGCTCAGTGAAAAAGACAATAATTGATTATCATAAGTTTTTAAAATATTTATCCGATGTAGAAAAAAAAACATACAATTTTTTAGTGAATTTTCTAATAGAAAACTATCAATTCACAAAAAAACATACAAATGTGTTCTATAGAAAATTCAAACAAATCTTTTGTGTTTAAATATAAGTATGAGAGCATTGAAGAAGTTCACGTAGATCATGCCATTGTTACTGCTACTGATTGCTTCGACTTATCTCTTTTGATGTACAAAAATAGATCGGCATCTCTTGATGCGATGCAAGAGTCGCGATAATATGATGATATGAATGAATCATCGAATTTGTACCATTCATTTGCACTATTTGCCTCGTGTCGAGCATATGCTATATTATGACCACCTACATATGTTAAACGGACAATAAAGATCGTTTCGAGTATGGAAAGTTTTTCATTAGCATTTATTAATGTTTCATAATAATAAATATGCTTAATATTAGAAAATTTACGAGAAAATCATTCGTAATCGATTGTTGATAACTAGTATGAACAATTAAAAATATATCATTTCTATCTTCATTTTCGACTATATAACGATGACAAACATGTTTGTTATAAACAGGATGATAAAATGAAAAAAAGTCTCCAAAAAATTCTTTAGTATATTTCATGTCATCAATGTGTGGTATTAACCAAAGTAATGATAGTCCTATAGTGTTTAATGTCGTTTTTAAAGTGTTACTAGTCATGAAGTTCTCAATGTATTCTTCTTAATTCATTATAGATTCTATTACCTTTCATTTCTTGTTCTTTAGCTTTGTTTTGTTCATCTGCTTGATTATATCAACTAGCTTCTAACCGATACTTCTGAACTATTTCATCACACAATTGACCTATGAGGTCTTCGATATTTGCAAATTGATGTTGGCCATTTATATCGGATTTATCATTCTCTAAGATACAAAGTTTAGCACATTTTGGTATATTCTTGAGTGATGAAACGAATTGTGGCATAGTAAAAAGTAGAATTAATTGTTTGGGCCATTGAGAAAAATCGAACGTTGATTCATTCTCACAAATAAATATCATATCAGATGTCAATGAACAGAGAGTACCTAACATAGCTGAAGTAAAGTCAATCATATGCAATGATAAATTTATCAGAACGTATTGAATATTGGTTAGAGAAGGTAAAAAAGAAAATAAATTCATATTAGGAAATATTTTACTCAATAAAAGATTAGTTAAGTTTATATTTGAATTTGGAATAGAGTTCTATGAAAGAAAAAAACATCACATCATAAATCTTCTAACAAAAAACAATAAAAGTCATGCAGTATTTGCAACAATTATTCGTATGATAGATCTTTTATGTTTTTAATCAGTAAGCTCAATAATAAAAGCATCACATACAAACAAAAACCGCATAACATATGCATTGAATTATTTTTTCAAGACTTCAATCCATTTTAAATCAGTGATTATCATGTATCAAATAGAATAGAGAACTGAGTCAATATCTTACGAGGATTTCCAACAATCTGAGTCAAAGAAAAATCGGCCGTAACCGACTTACGAGGGAACTTCTCCTATTTATACATCACCATCGAGCCAAAGCATATTTGTCTACACATATGAAACATGCTGATTCCGAATGTTACCATATCAGTGGCTACTGGACATTTTAGACTAGTGTCCTGGAAAATTAATTTTCTATGATGAGCAATTTTTTCTAACACAATAAAAAGTGACGCCTATAGACACATTACTCACTTTTCTTCCGTTTATATATTATTCATTTATGAATTATATGAAGACATAAAAGTTCCAAAAAATGGGTAGAACTTCGAACCTTTTAATAACTGAAGAATAGTTTTTATGTAAAACAAATATGATATTTGCATTAAGCATATTCAGATATACCGAGGACTCTATTTATTATCGTAATGTTCTCGATGAAATCTCTACAGTTAGAGGAATAGAGGTTTACATTATAGAAGTAAATGACTGATAGAGAATAAGAATAAAGTTTTGATGGGAAATATTTTACGATAGCAAATAGATTTCTTGACGTACCTTAACATAATGGTTCTGAATGTGATGCCCATTTTCCTTAAAAGGCATTCTTTAATAAATGAAATCTCGAAATACCATCCTTTTTTTTGGTAAAAAATTCACCGAAAATTCATACTTACGACATTAGATCGATATTCACTGATTTACTTAACATATCTGTATTGTGTTAGTGTGTCAATGCTTCAGTGAACACACTGGCCCGATGTAATCAGTAGACTCACTATCAATATTTCAATATTTTCACCGAAACTGTACACCTCTATCCAGAATAATAATTTAAAATATATCATAATGGGAGAGATTTTCTCGTTGATTTCGACTATGCTCGCATAGTTGTATCCGATGAGCACTCACTCGATAAAAGATTTTCTTTAAGCATAGTCTCGTTTCTTATACTGACTTAAATTGTTTTTTTTTTATTATCAACTTCTTTTATATTTACGAGATCGATAACAGTTAACAACTTTCCTACACAAATAATATTTCAAGGAACCTGATAATTTGATTAGAAGCAATCGTATGAGTACTTTTAGAAATTAATCGTTCTCGAAGAATGTTTGTCATTTACTTCTGACATTATTTTGGTTAATTCTTTATTTATTTGTGGCATTAAAACATGTTATTCAGGCAATGCATTGAGAAGGCATTGATAATAAATCATGGCCTTATCTGATTTTTCACAATAAATAAGCAAATCACCAATCATACACAAATTATGACTTCGTTTTAATTGTGGTTTCATTGCCAATAATTCCTGTACATCAGCATCACTAATTAATGTTAATTCAAGTGTCCAAATGGAGTTTTTAAATACTAATGAACCAATTTGAAATATAGAATAACACATAAAAATAACTTCTTGATCTATTTTCTTATTAATATTAGAATTGATATCACGAAGAAAAGCAAAAGATGCTACACCAGAACGATATATTGCTCTAAGATCAATCAAAACTATTTCAAATTGATTATTACATTTCATATTGGACATTACTTGAGGAATATTTGTTGATGTAAATAAAAATCCATTAAAAAAACAAATAATTGACCTGGATCAGCTAAAAGATTTTCCATTTGAGATTTCATCATTGGCTGTATACGAAAATGCATTTAATGAATCTGCTTGATGTTTAATTAATTGAGTATAAATATTCACAAGAAGAAAACATAATGTAAATAACATATTTATATCTTGTTCATGTAATGCTTTATTAACAATACGTATTAAAGGTGTATTACTTGTAAGCCAATATACAACTTGTTGTAATTCATATGTTTGTTCAAATTGAGATATTAAATTTGAACTGTATTCATCATCAAAACTAATTATATTCTCCAAGATGTTGAATAAGTTCATGAAATGTACTGTTCGAGATGATAAATAATCTGTAGATAGAAGAATTCCAAGTAAAAGATTGTACCATATATATGAAGCAGTTTTAATATCAAGAAAATATATTTGTAATGCATTTGAATCTTCAACACTTTCAAAATTACCTTAGTTCATAGATAATTGGTTTAAAAGTCATTTGTATCTGAAACAACACTTCGAATTTTTGAATAACTTTTCGCCCAAGGTTTATTAAGATTAACATCCAAACAATAAAAATAAATAGAAATAATTTATGGTAAATAATGGATTTTTGCAACAAGTTTTGCTCCATGAGCTACACTTACAATAAGTACGATCTTTTTATCGGTATTAGATTTTTTCAGTCATTTTTCACATGATTCAATTTTGTCAAATGTGACAAGATACGTGAGAATTTTTCGTAAACGAATCTGAGTCTGCTTATTCTCATTACATATATTAACATGAGGAACGAGTTAAACAAGTAAAAATGTCTCAAGATTTATTTTTTCAATTGACAATGTTGTTAGAGAAGATTTTGAAGAATATGATCGAGTTTTTTTTCCCATAATGTAGAAAGAATCTTTCTTCCTGTTTTATTACTCATCTTTTTGTTTGTTGCCTTTTTTAGTCAATTCTTTAAAAAATACAAATTTTATCTGAGTTTGTAGAAAAAAAGAAAAACGGATTCAAGTTATCTCTACTTTTTTATCGTTAAGAAACAGAAATTAAGATAACATTAAAAACCAAATAAATCAAGACAAGTTTGCTTTTTTCTTGCATATATTCAAACATAAATGATAACAAATATAGTTTAAAAGTTCGTTAGTCTTATTCATTTACACATGCACTCTATTGATAGATTTCTTCAATGTCTGAATATTCTTATCCATATGATCCATATCTTCATAGATGATATCTAAATAATAATAAATATTTAATTTATAAACCACCAACCATAAAATAAATATACAAACTAAGTGCTTTTTCAATAGTTTCTTGAATTACTCTAGTCGAAAGAGCAATAATGTCCGATTTAACTGTTTCGCACGATTCCATTCGAATATTACTTTTTTCTTTCGACATATTTGCTTTAATAGCGCCTACTAAGGTTATTAAATATTGGCGATGATGACAGCTGCTAGCATGGGCGACAAAGCGCACAATTCTTATCAATTTTATAGACTATCCTTGTCTCTATGCACTGAAAGTGACACTAATCGTGCATTCAGACACACAGTTTGTCAATAAAAATATTTGTCATTGAAGATCTGTTCCTGGTATATATTTTCATTTGTTCAATAGTGAAAAAAAAAAATAACGCAATCATTTCATTTAACGATAAAATAAAAATAAAGATCTATCGTGAATCACAACATATTCATTTATGAATGATTCCGTTATTTGTGTTTTATGTAAGTTTTTGTATGTTAATATGAAAAAAAGAAAAAAGAAATGCTTTTTTCTTCGGCATCTTTGGTTTTTTATCTCGAGAGTATTTTGAATGAAACATACCACTGTCATTTTTTTTTTCGTTTTTTTTCCTCCTCGCTTCTTGGTAAAACTGATGAGTCAATAGAAAGAACAAGAAAGAAAAAAATTGAGGTGATAAAGAGAAAAAAAGGACATGAGAAGTGTACTATTTTTACGCATACCATAAACATATTTGCAACAATTTCTATTCTTATTTTTTTTCCTTAATGGGTGCATGTGCTGGTAAAAATAAATCAAAAAAATCAAAATCTTATGAACCTACAGCGACTTCAACCAAAGAACCAGAATCAGAATCCAAAGGTTTAAGTTCTTTAAATATGTGTTTGTCTTTTTTTTTACATAGTTATATGTAACTTTTAGATAAAAATTTGCAACGAACTATTTCACCATCATCAGTCGAGGTATTTCACTTTGAAACAAAAAGTAGTCTTTTTGGTTTTGAAATACATTTTTCGTAGTAACTTTTGCAGACATTACCATCATCAAAAGGTTTGACAGCAAATAACGATGATAATAATACATCTAAATCAAATACAGAAATACAGGACATCGCTCCAGATGTTCAAATTATAATCAATGAACAAGATGGAATTAGTAATACATTAAGTAAACCATTTCCAAATCGTGTTGTTTCAGTTACAGATTCTGAACTTGAATCGGAATTAGCCAATCTTGTATATGGACGTCCGGAAAATGATTATGCAGAAAATCCAATTCCTGCTCCTACATTTAAAAGTACTGAAGTTTAATTAAGAACAGAAGGAATTAATTTTTTGAAATAAAACGAACAAATAAAAGAAAAATTGCTTGTCTAGATAATTAATAATATCAATCAATGAATAAAATGTTTTGTTTCATTTTTATTGCAGTGACTTGAACAATAAATGATTATTATTATTAAATCGAGTAACAATGTGATTTTGTTATGTTTTATTTTTAATATTCTAGAAAATCGAATTCTTGAAGGAATAAAGCTTTTTCGTAAACACCTAATTTGATAGATATGTTCAAAGTTGTAATTGGACCTTATTGTATCTCCTCGTGTTTTTACTATTTTTATCTCGATTACCTTGAAAAAAACTGAACCTTTATCAAAATTTTATTTCGTTTTACCTTTCATTTAAATTCTCATATAAGTTTAATATTATTCAATATACCATATCGTCTTTTACCTTGATTAAAGACGAAACATCAAATGAGTATGTTCTAAACACTTCCATGAAGGAAAGAACAATATGTTAATATTATTGTCATTTGATGACATTTTATATTTTACTTCTAAGGTTATAGTGAATGTTAAAATAATTTCCTCATTTCAATCTTTTTTTCTATTGCGTTTTTTTACATTGCAAACAAGGACAAGACACATATGCTATGTAATTAAAATTTCTTGACAGTATATATTCAAATGATGATATTTTAAAGTAAACTTTTCATTGTAGTAGAAGATCCATTTGTAGAAACGATGTACTGGATGTCATAGAAATCGTTTCTCTTAACCCTTAAAAGTCGAAAGCGGTTTTTTTTTGAAGAAGAGGAAAAATAGACCATCAAAATAGAGGTTCTGAATACTACTAACTATGATCATATTATAGTTAAAAAAAAAAGATAATCTTTTTTTCTTATAAAAATACAAAGTGTGTCTTGAAAATGAGATGAATGTGTCACGTTTCTTAATTTATATGAGAATTTTTTTTTTCTCACAAATAATTCTATTTATTTATTTTATATAACACTTAGAACCAATTGAATAGAATATTTGCAATTTTTTAATAATTCTGCACTTTCTGTTTCATTTTAACAATACTCTGTGAACTCAGACAAGTGTCACGAATTTGAATGAAATCAATAACTCCGTCACAAGCAAAAGAATATTTTTGATAATTGAGAAGTCGTTTGGCTGTCTCCTTACTTTACCTCTCGATAATCCTTAGATGAACTCGAAGTAGTCAAGAATTTATCCCATAATACTTCAAATTATTTCTTCTATTATTCATGAGTTGATAGAATATTTCATATTAGATACTATGACTGTGAATGTTCCTTCTAAGGGACATTTTCTTAATAATGTCGCAATCAGTCAATAGATCATTTAGAAAATAACCGAACTATTTCATCGAATACATTGACGTTATAATTAAACTATATCACTCAAAAAAAGGAACAAAATATTTAAGAGTAAACAAAGTCTTCAGAGTAAAAGTAGTATAATTTATAAGATCACCGTACTTTGGAAATATACTAGTTTTTGTATGTGACGTTTGATTAGATCTGCAATAGCAATTACTAAAATGCCTGTTGAAAGATACGTTCGGCTTTTAAGGATTACTTAATTGATTTGTCGAAAAATTGGAATATTAATTAGGATATCTACATTAAAATATGCCTGATTTTCAGAGTTTTAGGCTGAAAATCTTTTAAAAGACAGTGGGCAACTTTATTTTTGAGCTTCTAAAAACCTAAAAAGAAATCACTTGTTAAATCTGTAAAATCGCTTTCCTTCTCTGAAAAACCTTCGTAATTAGCAGTTATATAAAGAGATTAGTCACAACAGAAGAGCTAGAGTTGTTTATTGTGAGCAGAAGTTTATTCTTCTATTCCTCTCTTTTCATCAAAGATTATCACTTTAACAAACCATATATGTCACAAATAAATTACAAATGTTCAGTAACACTGAGCTCTATTAAACTAGAATGAAATGATACCTGAATTTCGTAGATTTAACTAAATCTAACATAGTGAAAAATATAATATAACTAATAGGTGGCATAATATGAATGGCTGAGTTTCCTGTATTGCCTCCTTTTATTACTGAGTACGTTTTATTCAAAACTAAAACAATAGATGCAATTCTGTGCGATGAATTTGCGTCTTCGTCTCATCGATTGAAAACAATTGTTTTCATTTACGAAAAATATTATTCATCTGAACGTGTTTATAGTACAAGTCGACAGGAAGCAGACAAGCAAGGAGACATTAACCAAAATGCTAACGAGAGAACATACCCAACTGTTGGACACTGTTCGAGCCCATATTTTGCCTATGAGTAGGATTCGGTGAGAATAAGAAAATTCTAAAAGGGCTCGATCTTTCATTGTGCCTAGACAGGTATTTGGTTGCCACAAAGTTGTAAGAAACGAGAATTTTTTTGTTTCCTCTCGTTATTTTTTTGTATACCGAGACGTTAAGATCCAAAAAAATTTAAGAAAGAATTTTCATTTGATACACGAAGCAAAATTATATTCATTCAAGAAGGTGTGGTCAATCTAGGGAAAATTTTTATTCAAGTCTATAATGTAGCATAATAGTGAAAGTAAGCCTTCTCTTTATACAAAGCGACAGCAAGAAAAACGTAAGCTTAATGCATCGACTTCTTCATCTATGTCCTTATTCTTCGATTCATCATCAAGTATAACATTCTGTTACTTTAGAATGGTAAACGAATAGATAAAAATTTTCTTAAAACTTCGACTGCTCAGCATAGATACAATTAAAGTAGTTATGAGCTTTTTTTGAAACTAAATATGAGTAAATAGTCAAATCAATAAGCATAAAATACACTACAATTTACGCTCATATAGTTCTCAAGCTAAGAGAAAAATATATTCTTTACTTATTTTTTTCTTTCTGCAGTTAAGTGGAGCCGCAAGACTTAAATAAAATCAAACTTTCTTGAATGAATATGATTCTGCCTCGTGTATTAAATGAAGAATCTACGTTAAAATTTCCAGATCTTCATCTCTTGAAGCACAGAAAAAACTGAGGAGAAGCTAAAAAATCCTATATTCTTACATATATGTGGCAGCCAGATCTCGGTCTAGACACGTCATAGGTCTTAACTTTTGTTAGAGTTTTCTGAGTCTCACTAAGTCCTACTCATAGCAAAAACATGGGTTCGAACAACATTCGACAATTAGGTATATTCTCTTGTAAATATCCAAAAAGATTTATAATATGGTTAAGTACATCTAAACATGGGCTTTGTATCACCAATTAGATTTAAACTTGGTGAAAACTATATTAAAGTTGTTCTTCTTCATGCATTATCTGAAAGCAAACAGTTCCTGAACAACGATTTCATCTGTCAACAAGACAACGTCCCGCTATATACACATCATTGGCATGACATGAAGAAAATTTCTTAGTTTTTATAAACAATCACAAATGATTAGTCTTGATGGCACTGTTTTGAATTATTATGTATACGATCTATCACCAATAATATCCAATAGGTTACAGTTAAAAACTATGATTCTTTAAGTATGACTTCGTCATGTACCAATAAAACGGTCTTGTTGCCAACATCGAAAATTGTAATTGCAAAGCATTTTGTTCATATGTAGAAAACACGTCATGCAGCATATATATAATAAGATTCTTATTCTAACTTGTAGAGCTTTTCACACTACATTCTGTGTTATACTTGGATGTTGAATCAAAGGTACTGTATGATAAAATATAAAATTATGAAAAACCGACCATTCATTGTCAGTGATCCGATGTAATTAGTTAAAGCATAGAATTCAATCATATATATTAGTGTTTGAATATATTAGTGTTTTATTTTATCAACAAAATACGGCAGCCAACGATTCAATTTCATTGAATTTTCATAAAACTATAAATTGAACCATATATAAGAACTGTAGCTTCTCAAAACAGATACTTTTGAAAAAAATTCAACAGCTACTTAATGATTCACAGCTATTTAATGAATTCCTATCAGAGACCGTCACAGGGCACTTTTTTCGGCCCTGCCCTGCCCTGTTGCCCTGTCACATCTTGCCCTGTCCTGCCCTGATAATAGCACATATTATTTTCTTTTGCCCTGACCTGCCCTGAGAGCAGGACGGGGCAGGGCAGGGCGCCCTGTGGGCATATGAATTGAATCCGACTATGGGATGGGTTGATAATCTAATGAAAAATTTTGATTGTTTTTATGCTTAGTACAGATATCNTTGAAAAATAAAATACGCATTAATGTCACAAGATGTTGATTGACTATCGACATGTGTTCCAGATAGAGACAGCTGTTAAAAACAAGTTATATCTGGAAGTATTCACTGATTATCTTATTAAGCTAACATCATTCTTAATTGAGTTTCTCATAAGACTTGAATGTGTTATTTTTTATCTTAGTACTTTCTCTTATTTTGTCAGATTCTTTATTAAGTATTTCAAAGATTTGTTTAATTTATTTTTCTTCTCAATGAAATCTAAATTATGTCTTACTTTCTGCTGGAACTTCTAATAAAACCCGATAGAACATCGATCATGGTTCTAAAAATAGAAAAGAGAAAAAAAAATTAATAAAGAAAATAAAACTTTCGAATATGTTTTTCTACCCAGGATCGACAATTTGATTGGATTTTTTTGTTGTAAATCTGTTGGTGGTCGAATTTGTAATGTATTCGATTGAACATGATTGGATTTTTTAATATTAGTCATTGGTAAACTTGATAAAGAACTATGTATTGATGATTTATCTCCATTTAATTGTGTTTTTGTTTGAATTAAATTTGTTGTTTTCATTATTGTTTTGTGAACAAATTGTGGATCACAATAACGAAATGTTGAATTTCGTCGAAAACAAACTAATATACCATGTTGAAGAACAAATGGTGTTGAAACAAGTTTTCCATTTAACCATATCTCACCACGAGGAGTTAATGTAGGACAAAACCAGCCAGCGGTCACCCATCTATGAGGAAGGTTTAAAATCAGTACATTCCCTAAAAACTTTTCTGTAACCGTCAGTATGACATCGAGAGATTATTAAAATAGTCATATAATGTAAGTCACTCAGCTGCAGACTAATATCAAGTCCATCACTTTTATTAGACATTTTAAAACACGATAAATTGTATAATTTCACTAATTTTTCACTTTGAAACTTTGCATTTTTGCCAAAAATATGGATGTAGTTTTCCACGAAATCTCAATCGGAAGATAAAAACGAATCGTTCAATTTGCAGAAAAATATATATAAGGTTATTCCCGGTTAGAAATAACCAAATTTTGTTCATACTATCTTTGCATTTAAGGTGTGAAAATTTCCTCGTGGAAAGGGTCAGAAAACGATGAAATTCCGTAACGGAGGGTATTTTTAGCTTTTTTTATGCGAGTCAGTTGTATTTGTCAAAAACAACCATATATTCTGAAAGCTTGCTCAAAGCTGAACAAAATTCATTCAGAACATTTTTCTAAAGATTGCTTTCTTTCTTTATAAAATCGTAATCTCTCAGACCTCCGTCAAAATTATTTCCATTTTTGAAATTCCGTAACGGATGATATTCTGCTGAGTAATTGAGACATTATAAAAGAGAACTCGGTGAAATTTTTACTGGTATGAGACCTCAATGGTCTTCACTTATGGTGAAATTTTCATAGAGTTTGCTTTTGCTGTGACGGAGATATACACGTTGCAATATAGAAAAATGAAATTCCGTAACGCTGGTTTTACCCTGTAACAATACCATTTTGATTATGAATTGTACAATGATCACGATCAATACCAACACCATCAATCTAAAAGAAAGTTCTCTTTTTTTATTTTATTTATTTAATTAAAAAAAAGATTTATTTACATAAAAAATATTATTTGCCAATTCCTGCTTTTGCATCACGACCAACGTATGTTGTATTTGGATGAATTTTAAATACATGAGGTGTTGGAAGATCAGTTCCATCTATAAAGAATTTTTTATTTTATTTTCTTACAATAACAAAAAAATGTACCGTTTTTTTACTTCAACAAACATCGATAGATGATCATTAATAGTTCGATCTTGAATTGGTGGTGTTTGAATTGTATCTAATGCTGATTCTTGTGCACGAAGAAGTTTACGAATTTCAATATATTCGGGTGAACTTTTAACAACTTTAAACATTATTGAACCTATTCAGAAAAGAAAAAGAAAATTTTATTAAAATTATTCTTCGGTTTTTTCTTGTAAAATCTTCATTTTTTTGTGCATGATTTAAACAAATACTTAATGGACATTCTTTATCATGAAGAATAACTTCTTTAATTGTTTTATTATCCATTTGATCACGTGGTGGAATTACAATCTTTAATAAAAATAAAAATATTAAATTTTGAAATAAAAAAAACTAATCTGCTTACTTGAAGAAAACAATGATTTTGTGGATCTTCATATTTTAATCCATATTTTTCAAGCATTTCTTTAACTACTCATTCAGCGGTATCTTTAATTGATAAGAGAAATGTTTTATATGGTATCGAGGAATTTTAATGCATCACCAAATACTTTCATAGTAACACCTTAAAAAGAAAGATTTCAACTGATATTAATTAATTGAATAAAGAATTTTTCCCTCCTTCTTTGGTGCTAATTTTAATAAATTTTTGTTTTAAACGATCTTGTTGAATTTTTTTAACCATTTCTGGATTTGATAATGAACGAGTAAATTTATTTGTTTCAGGTACTGATTTATATAATGATTCAACAATAGCTGTTGGTGTTACAGTCGATGATTGAGTATCATTTCCATCAACACCATTTTTCTACACACGTAAAAAAACAACGGAGTCAATCTAACAAACGATGAAAAAGTTCTTTTTTTTTTCTTCGTTATCTTTGCAATTTTAATATCTCATAGAATTAAATATGATTTTATATATATGTATGTTGTAGTCAAAATTAAAATTCAGTCAAATTTTAAATTTGCCCAGTCAAAATTGAAATTGAAATTGTGTCTAGGCAAAATTAAAATCAAGTTTTGATAAAACACAGAACTTGAAGAAATAACAATAATTAGATTATGAGAGGATCATGGATAATAGTAAAGGTGAGGGAAGAAGTCTGGATACGTAGCTTCTCAAAAGAGATACTTTTGAAAAAAAGTTAACAGCTACTTAATGATTCACAGCTATTTAATGAATTCCTATAGCTACGTAATGATTTTCTATACCCACTTTATGATTTCCTGTAGGTACCTAATCATTATACAACTACTTCAAGTTTTGCTTTGATTATTAAGACATCCCACGTTTTTTTAAGTTGTTGTACGTATTTGAAGTTTGGATAACGAATAAAAGGCTCCGCAGTCATTTTAACATATGACAGCGGTTAAAAACCGCGTGGATGATTATAAAAACCATTGCTATTTATAAACTAATCGCCATTTAAACAATATGAAATATTTTCTTCATTATTTATAGCTATTATAACCTTTTCATGGCTATAAATATGATTTCTTAAATATTGAAAAGCTTTATACTGACGATATTTGACTAGCTAATAGATTTCTAAGATGCTTGTATACTTTTTTTGTCTTTGGCGCACAACTTAATATTGTGCTCTCTTTCTTTTCTCGCTACTATGTATAGATAAAATGCCTCTGATAATCTCAGAAAGAATCTATATCCATATAGATGATAATATTAAGAAGAAGAATAAATGAAATACTTTGAAAAATCAATTTGTCATTCAAGTCATCATTTTTAGAATTTTTTTAATAACAAGTAGCAAACAAAATTATAAATATTTGAATTCTTTGTTACAAACCAGATACGAATTCCAATTATCAATACCTGAATTTTTATTTCATAAAACGCTTTACTGATTTAGATTAAAGAAATCAATATTTTTCTACAAACCAAATAGGCATTGAAACTATTAATATTCAGATTTTTTTGATGAACCTCTTGCACTAAGTAAACTATTTTAAAATAATTAAATCACGATTATTTTTGGGAATTCAATAGAAATTCAAATTGTGAATACTAAAGTTCTTTATTTGAATTTTTTCATTCAACCATCTCCTTGCTCAAACTATATCATTAAAAAAATTCATTTTATGAATATTCGAATATTTTTATGAACCCAACAGATATTCAAATTTTGAATGTTTCAATTCTCTCCATTTTCAATCTCCTCACTGCTCATATTGCATCATAAGAAAAGATATTATGAATATTCGAATATTTTTGCGAATCCAATAGAGATTCAAATTTTGAATATTTGGATTTTTCTTCATCAACAAAATAAAAATTCAAATTATAAATATTTGATTTTTTTCATTTCAACCGTACCTGTAGAATTCATTAAGTAGTTGTAGAATTAATAAAGTAGCTACAGAAGTTCATTAAGTTGCTATAGGAAATTACTAAGTAGCTATAGAATTCATTAAGTAGCTGTAATTAACAAAATACACAAGAGTATTATTAAATGTATCTCCTTTGAGAATGAGCCATTCAATTGTTATTACAAACAATTTGTTTTAGTGTGCAGAACAAGGCTTGTAGTATTGTCGGTAATAATGAATTTTTCTTGTTGATTCATCAAGATTGTACTTTGTTTCGGAATATCATTATCTATTATTATCTATTCACACTTCTATCTTTCTTTCTTTTTGTCATTATGGTATCACTTTAACAACGGTGACTACAGAGGGCAAAAGACCCGATATATATACGCAAATAGATGGTGTATTGAGTCGATTAGAGAAACAAAAGATGTTTGATGTATTACAATCTGCCGAAACAGTATATTACGATGCTGAACAAGGATATACACCAAATCATAGCATATCACGAGACGACAAAGAACAGTCTGATATATTTCAAAGTTTAGCTGTAAGTCACTTTTTTTTCTATCATTTATTAATCGGATTTTTTGTTAGAAACAAACTGATCTGTCGACAGGCACTTCTCATAATCTTACTAGAAGCATTAAATTAGAACGATTGCCTATCAGTAAGTGTAGTACATTATAAAAAATTCCATCTAGCTCTTAATTCTAATTTAAGGTTCATATGTTGTTGATGATCAAAGCAGTACAGGGGGTCAACAATTAACATTTGCTGCTCAACTAGATGTATGCATTAATTAGGATAATCAAATATGTCATTACGAAATAACTTTTTCTTGTTTTTTTAGACATCACATCGTCGAAAAAGAATGCTCTTATATGGACTTTTTTTATTCATTGCTGTTGTTGTTATAACTGCGGTTACTGTTACTTTGGTTTTAGTCTTACGAACTCATAAATAGTATTTAATTTTAAACGAAATACAAACGAATAGTTATATCATATACATATAAATTGTTCTGTTAGAATGTCTACATAAACGTCTTATGTTATCTATTGCTTTGTTCATTTTGTGAATATGTGATAAGTATAAAGATAAATTTTTATAGGATTCATCAAATGCTGAGAGATGAAATCTGTATTCAAGGATGTGTATTTATAAACTTTGAAAAACAACTGTAATGGAAAATTTCAATTAGTTTCAAAATTTGTTTTTTTTTTTTGAAAACAAATGTGAAAAATTTGAAATTTGTGTTAGGTATCCCTACTAAATGTACTGAGTTCAAGCTATCCGTCTACTCGGTTAGTTCGCAGTAGGGTATCTTTTTGGATATACTACTTAGGCTTATCTCAATAGATAGGTATTTACCAGGTACCTATCGAGTTTCTGTAGCATTCTATGAAAGGTTTTTCAACAAGTTAGGTAGCATGAATAATTAGAAGCATCTTTTAATCCAGTGATAAAAACTCATAAAGTACCCAAAGCTTCCTGTGATGTACTAGTGGCAGAATATCCTAAACTCAGTACATTCATTAAGGATATAATTATTGAATAATAATTGTCTCTCAATCAATATTAATATTTTTTTAAGACTGAAATATGATTCGTCTTTTCATGCTTTTTCTTTCTATCAAAATAAAAATGTAATGAATATATACATTCAGAGATGAAATCGGTTTGAATATTCACGATCAATATCGGTAGCGATCAATGTAAGCCAGATCGGTCGATAACTAGTATCAGTTTCATCTCTGCTTGCATATATTGGTCGTTTGTTGTGCTATACTTTAGTTACGAATATGACTCTATCAACTGAAGAAAAAAAACTTGTCATTTCATTAGATATTTCAGACGTATATTTCTAGAACAGTGACAAAGTTAACAATTATATACGTGCTATTACTTATTATTTGAAATTATTAAAACTCCGTACTTTCAAAAATCTTTAAATCTATTGGAGATCTCGTATGTTTAAAGATTTATCTCATCTATATTTCTTCAGCTTTCATCTATCGATTTAGCCATAGATTTAAAGTTACTTGTTCCATTCTATACTTGTTGTTCGGTAATGCAAATTAAACGTTAGAGTGGCATCAAATATTCATTTAAAAAACAAGACTAAGACAAAAGTAAAAAATCCATTGTTGCCTAGAGCTTGATTGGTTAAGAAGAGCCTACATATCAATGTGTTGTCACTCTGTAAATCATTTCAACAAGTTTTATGATCATTCGATCAACATCTCATCATGTATTCATTCATATGTAGAGTATCAATTGATTTGTCTTTTCTACTCGTCATGCAACACCTGTAATCATCTTGGCAAATCAACTAATAATCCTGTGTTATTCTATGAATAGCCGATTTATCGAAGTCAAAAATACTTCATATAATCCAGTCATATTTCTTCTCTGTTTCGTTTTTATTTCCATCCAATTGAATAAATTGACACGCATAGACTTGATATAGTCATATACTAGTACTTACATCACTGGGATATATTTATTCATTCATGTGCTGGACACACGCTGTCATTCTATGTATGTATTATATAATAGATATCTGAGCTGTTTTTACTGATACTGCTTTCAATACGTGTTGATCTTCTCTTCGTATGATCAGTTATTGAGAATATGTCATTTTATTATAACATGACTAGAAAGATAAAAATTGCTAGGAAGCGTGTCTCATCTTAAATTAATAGATCTTCGATAGTTTTTTTTTGTCTAATCGATCTACTACTACGTAGAACAGTTTATTATGATTGATATAAGCATGTTGTGACTGTTCATTTGTGCATAGAATATTCTTTATTACAGATAGAAGAGGAAAAATAAAGACGAGTGTCAGACAAAGAAACAGAATGATACCATCCGGCGCCGACAAAGCTAACAAGCACTGTATAGTCTATTGGTTAAACAATAACCATATTGTGTCGAGTGTGAATGATCATACGCAGAATCATTTATGTCATATATGCATACAATACTGTTGCATAAATTGATCGCATTGCAACATCGACATCAGCAAGTAGCTAATCAAGACGATGCGCCGACATTCTATTATTCTTCAATAATTACCTCCATATAAGTCTCGTTTTTTTGTGTACATATATTAGAGATTGAGAGAATATTAATCAGAGAAGAAAAAGTGAGAAATCAAAGTTGAATGAATGACTACAAACATTCAGTAGTAGATGTAGATGCTAAACATGGAGAAAGGAAAAAATTGCTCATTGAACGTTGAGTATGTGTTAATATATTTGAAATATTAACGAGAGAAGAGAGAAAATGAAGTATAGCTGTAAGTATCTATTTATGAATGTCGATCAACTTGTCATCGCACTTTAGACATAATTTGCAAAATGCAAGGCTTAAAAGGATCAAAGGTATAGTCTTCTTGTAGATTATTATATTTCTCATCTTATTTCACCAATCTTCTTGTAAAGTCATCAATAATTAAAACATGAACTGAAAGATTTTGAATATTGATCAAACGATGAATATATATGCAATCATTATTTCTTTCTTTTGTTGTGTATCTGTTTAATAATATTTAAAAACTAATCTTAGGTTTTATTATGAAAACCAAGATGACAGATGATTAATTTAAAGAAAAAAAATCCATAATCCTATATTGAAAACACTTTCTTTTTTTATTCATGATCCATATAATAAATATATATAGTGTTACATTTATACTTTTGTTTCATAATCAGCTATTCTTTTTGTCTATTGTAGATTTGATGATATGGATGTGGTGACAATTAACTAGATTAACTCTTGTCTTCTATTTTTTTTTCTTCTTTTCCTGGCATGTGCCATACAGTTAATCCTCGATGGGTCATTGCATGTGTGAGAGCTTCTTAAAACAAGAAAGTAAAAAATATAGTATTATATATATATAGGATAGTGTATGTAAGAATTATCTCAGTATAGATTTAATTCATTTATTTTTGATAATTTTGTAACAGTTGTCGATCTAATTTTTCTTTACTCGTTTCAGATTTATAATGAATCGTCTTCTTGTACGACGTTGTAGTATGTCTTCAATTCAGGAGGAAGACGAATCGGAAACATTCGATGAAACAATAACAGAAGTAGACAAATTACTATCCCTTTCATTACGACAAGAACAATGCGATCGTTCATCATCAATTTCTGAGTGGGATTCTGAATTATCTGAATCTGAACAAGAATTTGACGATAATAATGAAAATCCAGAAGATAAAAGTGAAGAACAAGCAGCGAATCGAGCATTACAAAGTTTTAAACAATCATGTTCACGAACAGTAAGTTTTAATAAAAATCTCTTGACATTCTATATTAGATTTTTAAGTGAATTTCGTTTGTCTAAATAAGTTTCGGAGAAAATGAATATGACCAATGAAACGAACATAAATGACTTCTAGAGAAATTACAAAATTGGTCTATCTCGTATCATCCAACTATCCAGTTGGCATTGTTCTATGATGACATTGATTATACATGGCTCATTGATGTCAGAACAAGGTCAATCTATCGCACTATGTGCGCCTGTTAAAAGAAATCGTTCGCCGAGCAGTTGTGCTCATCAGGCTTGGGACCATTCTTTGCATGATTGCATTTGTATAAGTACTATCATCATTTGACCTTTTTACACTGTTGTCATTTCTATGTATTGAACTGTCTCTATGTATACATATATATTGAGAAAAAAAAAGAAGAAGAAGTCTATTTGCTTGGCTAATAGTACGCATAAGGCGAGATATACTCTATTATCAAGATTGCATACTTGAGCTCCAATATATGTATGTGTATATATATGTTTGTACTACTGATGCCTGATGATAAATGAAATGAACAGCAGTAGGTGATGATACTGTTTGTTTAAGTGTGATGAACATCCTGTTGATTGCATATTATATTTGACATTGAGAAGTAATTATGAAAATAGAGTACTAACAGCATGTGTCAACTATGAAACAGTGAAAGATATGGAGAAGATGACAAAATGCAGTGATACGTATAATTTTTTCGCATTGATATAACTTTAGTTTTCTATTTTAAATAACTTATTTTAGACTATTGAATATTAAACAAATTTGACCGACAATTTCAATATTCATGTACCACTATCCGAGTCTGATATGAATAATTTCTAGTTGATTCTGTCAACTTGTTACGGAAATCAGATTACTCAATTCCTGAAACTTCCACAAATAGAATTGTTCGCTCACTGAAGAACCTTCTTTTCATTGTACAATAATATTGTTGTCATATAATAGAAAAATTGAGGTCTCTATAAAAGACTTGAGCACCTATATCTTTGGCCAGTGAGTAGGCAGATTTGACTTTGGTGCATATCCACAATATTAGGCTTTCATATACTAGCATAAAAATAACATAGAAGAGATATATTTTCTAAATTTCAAGTCTTGTAATTGAATTTTGTGTATAGCGGTTGTGAACATGTTCAATCTATGTCCGTTGTTAATTACCGTATTAAACAGTATAGAGTGTTCTATCGCCTAGTATTAGCATCGTATCCTCTTCTCCTTTGGTTACTGGCGCACTTCTTTTTGTTCTATCTGTCGATTTTTGGTCGGCTGTAATGATACGTGTACTATGTCTCCTCGTCCTATCTTCCTTCTGAGCATTGAGTCTTTAATTTGTTGTCCGAGGTCGTGTTGTTCTTCGGCAGACGAAGAAAATGCGACACTGATGTTATCGCATATGACACTCTATACTGTTAAATACGGTAATTGATAACAGATTCGATTGAACACGTTCACAAGAGCTATACACAAAATTCAATTATAAGACTTGAAATTGAGAAAATATATCTCTTCTATTTTTTTTATGCCAGCATGTAAAAGCTTAATGTTTTGGATATGTGCCGAAGTCGAATCGGCCTACTTACCAATAAAAAAAATGGGCGTTCGTATAATTAATTCAACAAGTTCGATCTACCGATAGTATCAGTTTCTGGTTTGGAGATGTGTGAGTCTTTTACAGAGATCTAAAAAATTGCATCTATTTTGCTGCATTGAGAAAGAAAATAATATAATGAATCATGTCGATAAGACTATATGCAATCTGAAATATACTGAAGATTTTTCTTGTGACATTTCGTTTGATACTTATATAAGATTGTATCGCGCAAGTTTGGTTTAGAAAAGTTCTTTTCTGCAATACAAGACTTTTCACATATGTCTAAATAGCGAGAACACTAAGAGAAGACTTATGAATTTATTCTTTTTTGAATATTTTGAACCATAATTTAAAACAAAGATTTCATCAACTCATTTGATATTGAAAAAGAAGCTGAAAATTGTTTTTTTTTTGTTATGCCAGTATTAATAGGCGTCCTATTAATAATGATACGATTTTTGAACAACGAACAATCAGTGCAGAGATAGGTGCATGCATTTATTGAATAGAACTTGAAGATATTCTCAGAAATAATGCATATAATTAAAAGTTTTTCTAAAAATGTGAACTCTTGTTTATAGCTTTTTTCTATAATATTTCTAATTTTTGATAAACTGATTATGGATCAAACAAGATTCATTGGATAAAAAGAGAAATTTCATTTTTCTTAATTTAAAAAAAAATCATTAGAAACGATCTGCTATGCCACTCATTTATTCTATGAAATCGTTCAAAACTCTTTGTTAAGTAACTATTCATATAATTAGTAATTTTCTATATGGAATATTTCAGCTCTGTACACTTCCTACTATTACATTAGGTATTTAGTTAAGCATATTGAACAGATGAGAGACGATTATTAAAGAACAGCTGTATTTAAGCTGTGTTCAATTTTTGTTTTATTAGAGAGATCTAAATTAATCGAGTAATTTTATCTCTTGTAAAGTGCTATGTTTATTCTCAATCTAATTGTTTTTCTGGCACGTGTATATATAAGAGAATAACGATTACTAAATGTTCAATATCTTTATTATTTGTCTCGTTCATGTATATTGATTCGATTAGTGGAAGTATGTTCAAGAGCTTCAAAGATCTCTTATTTATTAGATATTCTTTATAGTTTACACTGGAAATTCTAATAAATATAGATGTGATTTTTTTTTACAGTGATTAATAAATTATTTATTTTTTATTTTATTTTAGCGTTCAATTCAAATAAACAATAAGAGCAATCCTTATTCGCCGTTTTCTATTCATCTTCATGGTGAGTTAATCTCATTTTTTTTCCTCCCTAGTCAACACAAACCAAGAGGCGTTTCCGGTCAATTGCTCTATAACAACTTCCTTCAAGGAAATATGTATTGATGAAATAATATTTATGATAAAAGATGATGATAGATGTGACAGAATGAACAGTATATTATGTGTTTCGTTAGCAGGCAAATATTATGTAATAAGATAAATCTATCTTTAGCAGATGAGTCAAAGTTTTATATTTGTAATATGATTTAACTCTACATGATAGAAGAATTCAAGCATTGATGATGAAGTATCAATCAAATACGAAAATCTTCTAATATTTAAATAAAATCCTAATTGTAACTGTCATATCAAGGGAAATCAATTATTCTATGATCGGATAAAGTGTATAATCGGACGAAATAGGTTAACAATGATTGCATCATTATTATTGTTCATCTTAATATATTGGCATTGTTATAAAAATTTGTCCTTGTATAAGATTAACCAAAAAAAGGTCATCCCAACAATATGATTCTTTAATTTCCGTGTGCCAACTAACATATTATAAACGTAAGTCTAGAAAAAATGTAAATGAGAATGACGTATATAGACCAGTACTCATGCATTGCATTCTATTGCTTGAAATCCTATGACAATCTCCTGACAGAAAGTATTATTTTAAATCTTTCTCATGATCATTGCATTATCTCTGATTGAACTGTGCTTGTTCACGCGTACAATTTTAGTCCGTTCCCCTTACATAACAACTCTAGTATTCATTTTTTTTGTTTGTGCTCTCTTCAATGAGTACTAGTATATAGAGAAAGAGAAAGAGAAAGAAAGTACAACTGTTTCCGTCGAAGTTAGATGTGTGAACATACATAGTTGGTTTCTCCTTCGTTTCTATTTGTCTGTCTTAATTATCAATCAGAATACATACGTACGGCATATAATTATATATTAAATATCATTCCAAAGGAGAAGGATAAGAACAATACTTAACTAAGCAATTTATTATACGAATAAGTATGTGAAAGTTAGAAGAATAGATAATATTTAGTTACTTGTCATTGTTATTGTTTTTATAGAAGAAGAAGATTCAACTGAACTTGACGCAATTTTATCTGAATTACAAGATTTTAAAATTGAATTTGAAGAAAATTCAAATCTTTCATCGTCACAACAACAATTATCATATCCAAAGCTTGATAAAATACAAAAATCGACAATGAATCATTATTCATCATCGTCATCAGGAAAATATTCGTCATCGTCTTCTTCTTCTTTTTCAACAAATGGTTGTGTTTATGAACTTCGTACACTTGAAGATCAACTTGAAGCTGCTTTAGCAAGTTTATCATTGACAATAAATGATTGTGCAATAACTAATATTGATTCTCAACAACAAAATTCATCTGATTCAAGTGCTTGTTCAAGTGGAGTTGGAGATGAAATTGGCAATGAATCATTTCATTTATATAACATATCAAATACAAATCATCATTCTGTATCATTAACATCAAAAATGACTACAACTACAGATGATTGTGATTCAGCATTTAGCGATTGTGGATCAAATGATAAAGTTATCTTAACTAATCATGATGAATCGGTAAGAGTGTCTTGATAGTAAAATCGTTTTCTTATGATTACTAATACGAACGATCACAGAGATTTATAGTTTATATTTTTAAACAAATATCAAAATGATTTAATATCATGCATGACTAGAGAAGTGCGGGTTCGTATCAGAGATGGAATCAATTTAGATTTTTCAAAATTTCAACCAAATCGAAATCCCATTTGATTTGAAATACTGCGAACTGATCCCATCTCTGATATGTGCCAAACGAAACAAAACTCAACAGCGAACATATCCACCTGTTGGAAACTGTTCTACATAATATTATGGCTAGAAATAGGTTCTTAGAATACTACGAAAAGTTTAAAAAGCATTCGAGCCCGTACTCTACTAATGAAGAGTTTTGGTCGTTTTAATGAAATTTTTTCTGCGAGCAAAGCATTTCCAAAAACCAAAAAACAAAGAGTTTTGCATATAGGCAAATGTAAGAGTTGTTAAAAAGTCCTGAAATTTGCAACGACAACGAACATCTGTTTTTCGAGATATTCGATGGATCCGTTTAAATCTTTCTTAGTGTTGTAGAGGTCTACTAGTAACCATAATATTAAGTAGAGTAGCCTCCAATAGTTGAATATGTTTCCTAGTCAGATGATAAGATTAAGACATGTTGAATGCGTTGATTGAATAAATCAAGATAAGGAAATCGACTGTTTTTCTTGCTTCCCATTGTACTTCTTATATGAAACGTTGTGTTCATATTACTATAGCGATTATTATTGAGAACGTTAAAAAGACTTTTCTTTGCTCATATTCATTGGTTTCAATGTATTATGAATAAATATTTTGAACTAAAATCTCATCATCTTTACAATTATTTTTATACATTTTCCGAGAACATACCAATTTTTTAGTACGAAAAAATGTTAGTAAGTTTATTTGATTTAATTAATAAAACTCAGAAATCAAAAAGAATTTAAAGTTAATATTACGTTTGTTTCAATTGAAAACGTTTCGACTCCTTTGAATTAATGAATCATAGTTTCATTCGGAAAATAACCTTGGTCAGTTTAAAACTAATAAGAGATTCATGTTTCATTCAGTGACATCATCAAAAAGGGATATTTTTAGATGGTTTTTTTTCTATTTAGTTAATCTATCGTTCGATGCTTCCAGTGACAGATCCAATGGATGAGACACCGTCAATTATACTTGATCATGATGATTTATTATTATCATCTCATGGTCGACATTCATCAAAAATGCTTATTCGTACATATAATGATGATGATTCAACAAAAAGTATATTCATTGATGATTCAATGTTAATTCGTGATGTTCTTTTTGTACTTGTTCATAAAAATCATCGAGAATCTGATATTAATTATGCTCTTGTTGAAGTTTTACCTGATCTACATATGGGTAAAAGAAACAAAGAAAGAAATCTTACTAAAATAACTTTTTTTTTCATTTTAAACTTAGAACGTATTTTTGAAGATCATCAAAAATTAAGTGAAGCTATTCTTATGTGGCCAACTGTTTCTTCAAATCGACTTAGTTTTACTAAACGTCTTGAAAAATATAATTTTTTTCGAACAATTAATTCAAATGATGAATTATCACATACACCTGATACTGAAGGAAATATTTATTTAAAAGAAAAATCTCGTAAATCATGGAAAAAACACTTCTGTGTACTTCGTTCATCAGGTCTTTATTTTATACCAAAAGGCAAAAGCAAAGTAAATGATTTTTGTTTCTTAATAATCAATGTTGGTACTATTTTAAATTTTAGAAAGATCTTGTCTGTTTGGCAAAATTTGAAAATGTTGAATTATTTTTTGGTCTTGATTGGAAAAAGAAATTTAAATCACCAAGTGACTTTTGTTTTGCATTAAAGGTTGTTCTTTTTTTCTCTAATGTTTCTAAACATGAAAATGATTTATTTAAATTGCTTTTTTCTAGCATCCATTGATTCAAAAGAAAAGCTCAAAATATATAAAATATATGTGTGTTGATACAAAAAATGAATTCGATCGTTGGATAACAAATATTCGAATAGCTAAAGTATATATAAATAATTTTGATCGAACAAAAAGAATGTCTTGATTTTTAGTTTGGACAACAATTAAAAATAAACTATCTACTTTTGGATAAAGCGATGAATATTTATCGTTCATCAGGTAATAAAAGTCATTTGTAGTATTAAACCAGTAGGATATAAAATTGAGCCGATATTCGCTGTCAAAAATAAAATTTATCAAGATTTTTGACATATTCATTACGATATACACGAAGGAAGGATGATGATAGACACATTAACTTTCATTTTCTTCTGTTACTGACTGTGAAAGACATCAGTATCTTTCATAGTTAAACTTATGCCTAACAGAAAACAAGAATCATAAAAAAAAAGCTGTTAGCGCAATCTTCTCTGCGGGATTAAAATGTGAAATACAATGCAGCTGCTGTTGCTAATCGCAGAGAGATTGCGTTATTCTATGTGTTTTGGGACACATTTGTTCACCATCATATGGGAAATCAACAAATGGACGCTACGACAATTAGTCACAATGTAAAATTATTAGCATGTTTGGCAGAGACGTGGATCTTATTTCACTTCCTAAAAACCTCTATTTGCAAACATGTGATTCAATTACATATAGCATCGCCTTAGGATGAGGGTGAGACGTGAAAAATGAAAACTTATCCCATAAAATGAATTCATAGATTATCTTGCTGATATGCGGTATCGAACATTACAGCAGAAAAATAGCTCCAAACTAAGAAAAAAATTATACTAGAATGAGCCGATATCGATTTACGGTGTTTGGTCGTATGTCAACTATGTTTGCAGGAGAAGTGTAGTGTAAATTGTTACCCCTATGGTTCAACACTTCTTTTATATCGTGTTTCACAAAATTGTATTTTTTTTACTAACAGAAAACAACATTCATAAAAAAATATATTGATAAAAAATATCTTTGAAGGTCGTTTTGTTCCTGTTTGTGCTATTCGTGCAGAAACACCAATTGAACAACCAGAGAATGATGATCTATTTATTCATGATTGTCGAACACCAATTCCACAAAATCAATATTATGAAGTTCATCCGTCGGTATCTTGTAAGACATTATTTTCTTTTGAAAATATCAATTCATTTTTTCCTATTTTACTCAGCTAATAAGAATTATAATAATGATGATGTGAATGACAATGATAATGATAATGATAATGATAATGAAAATTCTCCGATTAAATCCGCTAGTTATATGGATGAATTACGTCAAAGACTTGAACGTGTTCTTAATGATTCACCACAACAAAGTTCAACTTCGTATCATCCTATTCAATCGTCATTACATACCAAAGAAACTATTCATCGGCCAACATTAATTCCTTCACCAAAATTAAAATCAACAAATTTACAATGTTTAAATTCAACTGAAAATTTAAATAAAACAAATAATCAAATAAAACCACCATTAACAATTGGTTCAACGCCATTACCAAGAAAACAAATGCAATCATTTGGAAGTTTATCTTATCGAACAATAAATACAACTAATCGGCATCATCAACAACAAATGAGTAAAAGTTTTATTATACCATCAAAACGAGAAGGTATTTTATTTGTTGAAGAATTTTATCAATAGATATCATTTTTTCTACTCATATAGACCAACGAAGTAACGATTCATTATCTGCAACATCAAAATCGGATTCACTTAATTTAGATAATACAGATTTTTCTCCTCCATCATCAATTTTTCTTAACAATCTTAATAATGCTAATAAAATAACAAATCCAGTTAAATCTAAACCAGCTATAAATAATAATATCAATACTAATCGTTTAAAACAGCTACCACCATTGAAAAAACCTATAACGTCATTTCGTACAAATACTCAAACACAATCATCATTACCTATTAAAAATGGACTTACTCCATTACCTCCCAAATTTTCAACTTCTATAACACAAACAACTAAGCAAACTAAACCCATAAATACATCATTACCGATTAGTTCATTTAACAATAGCAAAAGTACAACAATAGCTGTTAATAATAAGCCTGTTCCACCTGTCCCACCACGTAAGTCAAGTATCCCACGTCCAGGTTTGAAACCACAACCACCACAACGAAATTCATCAACAAATCTTCTTCGTAAACCACATGTCAGTCATTTATGATTGATTAAGAAAAACGATAACTCGATCTACATGATTACCCAGTGAAAATAATAGCTTTTATTAATAAACACACAACGAAAAAAACAAAACTTCATACAAACATTGATATGTAGTGAGATTATGTTATTTGTTTTTACATTTTGTATTGATTTATTATTATTCTTTAAATTTCTTTTTTTCACAAGTGTATCTCATCACATATAATTGCTACGTACTCTTTACATACATTTTCGATTGGCCTTCAGTTTGTTTTTGTAAAATAAACTAATACGAAAGAACGAAAAGTTTAAGTTTTATTGATGCAAATAGGAGAATGATTGAAAACAGTACTTATTTTTACATATTAATAAAAATCGTTGTCGTTGTTGAATTTCAGAAAAAAAACGACGCTTGATTAATTTTACAATTATCACTTTAGCTTTATATTAATAATTCTAGTATTGAAAGAATAATATACAATTTAAATTAGTCAATAGTATTAATGCATTTCAGTATTTAAAAAAGTGTTTGATTCACATGTATATGAAATATCGACATTTTACTTTAATTATTTCTTATATAAAGTTAAAATCTACATAGAAAATATTGAATAAATATTGTTTCAGATAAAAAGTGCACATCTATACACATATCCTGCACTATACAATAGAAATTTTCATATTGTTATTAATGGAATAAAATGATTCAATAATAAAAATAGGCATTGTTCAATTAAAATATCTATTTCTAATGTTGAATACAAGAATTTTAAGATAAAAATCAGGTCGCAGATCAGTTATAGGTTGTATTTAGATCGAACGAAAAAGAAAAATTAATAGCAAAGAGAAAAATATATGGCAATGAGACGCACCTTAAAGGTATACTTAGGTAAATAAATCAGTCGAGTGTGATGACGAAAGCATAAACGAGTCTGAAAATTGAAGGATAAAAAAAAACCGTCTATGTAATAAAACTGAATTTTGATTTTTTGTAAATATGTTTAATAGACTGTCTAAATCTCGAGTATGTGGGTGTATTTATGTAAATGTAGTCGATGAGATTAACATTTTCTTTTCAACTCTCATGTCAAGACTTTTTGATCATTGTTATATCGATCACAAGATTTTATTTTTCTTCTACATGAATCGAACAGTTGTTTGAAAAAATAAAATAATTCAAATTAATAGGTTATTGAAGCAACTTCAAAACACTATGTCAATTTTGTCGAATTTCATATATTTTTCACTACTTTTCTGTAATCATATTCTTCAAGCTTTATTTTTCACTTAATTATATATTGTTTTCATCGTCCCTAGATATACATTTAACATATTTTTTATAATAATCATCTAAATTCATGCTGCATTGAAAAGAGAAAAACAAAATATTTCTTTTTTTTTTATTATTATGATATTATATTTGTCTTTATTTTACAATTTCTTTTTTTTGTATACTATATCATTGGATATTTTCTTACTCAATGTCACCATTGTCGATCAATGATTTGAATAGGTAAGAATTTAGGAGTAATATACATACATGAGAAAACAAAGTAAAATAATGTTTCTTTTATGTACACAATTAGTTGACAGGCTTTTATCATATTTTTGTTTTTGTGATGTGTATTTTAACAAGTTATTTTCCACTTAGAAAATAGTGTATACCGATTATTTAGGTATACTTTATTCTTTCATCAAAAAACATGTTCTATATAGAACGTAATGATGATTAAGCGTATGTATTTTTAGTCTTTTACCAGTGACATCCATTGACAATTAGAATCTCTTTCAATGTATGAATTTTCCATTTTTCATATTTAAAAAAAAGCAAAACGAAATTAGTAGTAGCGTAAGAACACATGGATTAGAGGAGACTCAGCTCTTCTTCGTTCAAACCATTGGGTTTCGCTTTAAAAGGATTTTTTTACCAGAAGATTCTCGCCTTCTCCTCTATAGGCATGCTCAGGAGAGCTTAGCCACCATCTACAATTGTTTTTCTCGGTACACCACTAGCAATTAAATGTTAATAATCGAAAAGTAAAACTCATGATTAAGATCAATTGATTCTTTTTCAAAGACATTTACGTTTCATTGGTACTTATTTAAACGATCAGAAGAACAGTGCATCTGCTGCGATTCATCAAGAACAGTATTTTGAAAAATTCTTGAGCTTTAATTTTAAGAAAAAATTTATCATCGATTTTTAATAAACAAAAACTTTTCTACAATTAACATATGCATCACATTCATATTTCTTGTTCGTCATTTTCATTTTATTATGGTTTCTTTTTCTTTTGTTAAAATAACAAAAATTTTTTTATAAATGTCAATGGAAAGAAATATACTTAAATTTTTACACATCATATTATGCTAATAACATTTGAAAAAAAAGAATGATTGAGTAACGAAAAAAGAAAAAACAATAGTTTACAAGTGAATTATGAAATTGTCAAACAAAAATCAACAAAATAATCACTATAGAAGCATGATTGAAGAACAACGCTAAAATAGTGTTTGAAAGATTTTTATCTTTCTATTATTGTCATTTACGAAAGAAACAATATCATCATACTTGAAAATCACCAATAGCCGATAATAGCATAGTAAGTGTATAAATAAATAATCCTATTATTTTGTGGGACAGCTTCCATAAAACGAAGCATTATTCTTGAATAATATACTAAAGCAATTATAACCCGTCATGATCGACTGATATTTATTATCTGGGAATGTGAAAAAAATTTGTTTACACTATATGTTGTGTGCCTTGCAAAGACAGAAACAGATGATAGGTATCATTTCTTCTATATGCTATATAATGATAAACGATTCTTGTAATTATCTTCGGCATTTTGATTTGTTTTGTATACTTTTTAGAACGAAGCGTTATGTCTTCATGAATATGGTATGGCAAAATTTGTTCGAAAAACAGACAAATTCAACAATGTAATTGTTACCTCCACATCAAAACCTACGTCAAGCGTTGTCAAACAGGTTTGTGTTTGTTCTATACATATACTGTGCTCTTAATGTACATTGTAGATTTTTTTTTTCTTTAACTCTGAGTTTATTTGGTTTGTTTCTCTATAAATTAAGATTTTCTTTTCAACATATCTTGAGCCATTCTTTTATCACTGTTTATGAAGTAATTCTTTTGTATTTTATTTTTGATTAGCAGAAAAATGTACTTCAAGAAGCGCATTTACAAAAGAAATGAGTAACGAATAAATAGTGTTTATAATACACATAAAATTATGATGTTTTTCTTTTTCGATACATTTGAAAATACTTCACATTTTTTCAAGATTTTAAGTAAACTATCATGAATATGATTTTTATCATGAAAAGTGAGCCATTGTAAATATTATGTCATACGTGTTGGAAGATTAAAAATATTTCATTAATAATCATGATATTGTTATGCGCTTTAGTGACGAGAAAAAAAAAGCTGTTAGTCAAAGTCCTGTGAGGTTAAAATGTAAAACACGCTGTAATTGTTGTTACTAATCACATGAAAATTATTTTATTCGATTTATTTTAAGCCACATTTGCTCAATATCTGTTAATCAATCCTCTAGAACTGCAGTAAAGAAGTAGTTCATATTTTTTTAAGGAGATGTTAGTAAATGTACGATCTTTTATCATCTATCAACAATGTCTATAACAGTCTGTAGAGAAGGGATTGCGTCCAAATTTCTACCCTTATATACTTTAACACTACTTTTACATCGTGTTTCACAAAAATCAACCTGATGATAAGGCTTTACTTACATAGTTTATTAATTATCAGTTAAAAGAAAGACTTGAAACACTAAATATGTCTTATTTATCACTATCAAACAGATTATAAATTATTTCTTGTTTACTTAAATCTTACATTTACTTTTGCTTTTGAACTTTTTGTTTGCTATTACTACTTAACTTTAAGGTCTTCTTAACTTTTATCTGTATGTATTGGCCAAGGGATGAATTATTTTTTGTATGTCTGTTCTTTTGTCTATTACAACTTTATGTTTGTTGTTTCTTTCACTTGTCCATCAGCAATTTTGAATATAGGTATATGTGAGAGTCCATTGAAAATAAACTTTCATGCTAATAAAATGTTAGAAAAAAAAAGTGCGACTTTCTTTTCGAATTTGTTCTTTCGCCTTTTCTATTTTATTGATCAACCTGCATATTATAACGTTCTTATTCTTTTTTTTTGGTATTATTCGTATATGAATAATTTTGACAAGCCATCATGCTGTGATGCATTATATTCTATGAATGAATACAACCACCCATCTACGTTTAATATCTATCAATATGTTTTTATGTATTCTATTTAATCTATTCAAATTATAAAATTTGGTCTCTATGAAACATTATTATCAACGATTATTTTCTTTCTCTCTAACAACTTTAACTTAGCTTTTTGAATTTTCTCATTTTTACAAAAAAAAAGAAATAGAAAAATTTTCATGGCTCTTTTAAGAATTTTTGAAATAATCGAAAACTTCATGAAATCTATTATTAACAAACGACGATATCCATCTAGATCGTATCATCAGTTATCTGATACACAAGAAGTTCATATTTTTTGTAATCATAACGATAGCACATTCTGTTCAGTTGCATTACCACAAGCATCTGTTGTAAGTTGGTCATTTATTTTTATTTCTTTTACAAGTCGACATTGTAAAAAAAAGAATACTTCATTTTTTCAAGTTCGTTTCTATAATTATTTTAATAATTGATTCTAAGAGTTCTCTCGATTATATAAGCATTTATTCTACTTTTGTAACTATTATATTTTGATGGCGTGATCATTCATTTTTAATACTCACAAATCTAGGACCATTGTAAGCTTCATGAATTAAACGAAAAGTATAATCACAGTTATAAGTAACTAGTCAATGATCGCTTTGCTTATAAAGTATTTTTTATGAGGTGCCCTACTTTTATGGGTAACGATAAAAAAGAAACTAATCTTTTTTTTCTTCTAACTTCAATGAACAAGGTTAGTAAAACTTAAAAATTTGACAAGAAAATACTTTCATTTCTGTTTTATATATTCTTATAATTTCACATTCAATCTTGTTGGTAGATAAATTCTTTCATTGTTGTTCGATATTGTTCAGAAGAAAAAAAGTACTCATGATTTACAGTAAACGAGGTCACTGCTTCTTTAATGAGTAATCATTGAAAAAAATTGAGTACTTTTCTGCATGTCACTTAGCATTACGAATAAAGCAATCTTGCGAAGATGCCAACAATGAAAAGCATTTTAATAAAAGAAATAGTACATAGTCATGATACACTATTGTTTAAAATATTAAGAAATTCAATTTATTCTTTTAAAACAAAGATTAGATAGGAAGATGACTTCTTTTTTTTTTTAAGGATTCAATTAATATTTTCCCATTGACATCAACGAAGAAAAAGACCACACGTAATTCTTTCCCAGTTCCAGTTAATAATCGTATTACGAGTAATATTCGTAATCCAACATGGTGGTTATCATTAATATTATTACTTATATCCGTTGCTGTTGGTTTTCAACTTGGTCTAGTTTTTCTTTGTAACATAAAACGATGCATAACTGATGATTTATCTTTCGAACAAGATTCCGATGGTTTATATGATAGTAATCGAGCAAATTCATCACTTATTTCATCAATTAATTTACCTCGTGTATTACAAAAGAAACAATTAATTCTTGTTGCTATTATGACAAGTAAAGATTTTTTAACAACACGTGCACCAACTGTTATGCGTACATGGGCAGGAAATGTACCTGGACAAGTTATATTTTTTTCAAGTGAAGGTTCAACAACAAATGATTCAAATATTAATCTTGTTAGTTTACCATCAGTTACAGATACATATCCACCACAAAAGAAATCATTTCTTATGATGAAATATATTTATGATCATTATTTAAATAAATTTGAATGGTTTATGCGTGTTGATGATGATGTTTATATAAGAACAGATAATTTAGAACGATTACTTCGTTCTATTGATAATCGTATGATTATTTTTTATGCAAAAACATGATTTTCTTATCTTTTTTTTGTGTGTTCAGGTAAACCATACTACATCGGACAACCAGGTATGGGAACAAAAGAAGAATTTGGTAAATTAGCGTTAGGTGAAAATGAAAATTTCTGTATGGGTGGACCTGGTATAATATTATCCCGTGAAACTTTAGCTCGATTTACTCCACATATAAAAACATGTTTAAAAAATTTTTATACTTATCATGAAGACGTTGAACTTGGTCGATGTGTACATAAATATGCAAACACATCATGTACATGGTCTTATGAAATGCAACATATTTTATATAATCATCCAAATAAAACCGAAGGTTATAAAGCACGAAATTTAGTATCAACAGATATTTTACGTGCAGTTAGTCTTCATTCAATAAAAGATATACGTGTATTTACACGTGTACATAATTTTGCTTTACAACGACGAATTATTGAACTTGAACAACGTAATATGTTACTGCTTCGACAAATAAATGTTTATGATAAAATTCTTAATATAGAAAATCAAATAAAGTTACTAATAAAAAAACTTTTTAAATTAATACAAAAAACTAAAAATGAACATATGCAAAAGAAATTAAAACAAATGTATAAACAATTCAATATGCCTGATCAACATATTGCTGAACAATTGATAACATTATATAATAATACATACCGATTATTTAAAATTGACGGTGATGAACAATTGACTACAGGTATAAAATCATATTATAATTTAGAAAAATGAATTTGCTGATTTTTTTCCATATAATTTAGATCATCTATTATGGAATGCTATACGAGTATATTTTAATGAATCTCTTCCATCATCAAATGATTTAAATTTTTCCTTTTTATTCGATTCAATTCAATCAATGTCTAACAATTATACACATATGAAAACATCTTTAAAAGAAAAACGTAGTCCTGGCATTTATGCATTATTTACTGCTAGTCAATATTCAGCTAATACAGAATTACCTGTACGATCAATTGAACCAGCATATAAACAATGTTTTGATGAAGTTGTTCGAACATATATGGAAGCAGTTAATAAAATTTCAAGAAATATGGGTCGATTTTTAGAATATAAAAAAACTTTATATGGTTATTACAAATATGAGCCAAGACATGGAATGAATTATATTTTAGATTTATATCTTATCTATCGAAAATATATGGGTAGAAAAATGTCGGTAAGTTAATAAATATTTCGATGAATAAACAAACTTTTTTCTAATTTATATAAAACTAAAATTTCAAATTTGAAAATTCAACCAACATTTTCTCTTTATCTTTTTAAATAAAATAAATTTTTGTTTTTTGGATAATGATTTGAATCGGTACTCTTTTTTGTTTTAGGTACCCGTACGGAAACGTGTTTATGTCGTACAAAAATTTCGTCCACTATATTTTCGTGAGCTTCCTTCATCATATTCAAGTGCAATATTACCTCCTCTGGGAGGTAGCTCTCCTGATTTTGTTAATTCTGTTTTACCGGTGATTACTAATACGAATACGACTATAATTTTACCTTCTGCACCTGTGCCTATTCATATGATTGTGCCTGTTAGTGGACGTCTACCTACTCTCAAACGATTATTAACAAATTTTGATCATATCGTGATGCGTTCTAATGATCCTGATCTTCTTAATGTACATCTTTATGTAATCTTAATGGAAACAGCAGAAGATAGTGGTGAACGTATGTCAACACTAGCTGATTATATAAAAAAATTTATTCAAAAATATCAATCATCACGTATACATTTAGTTGAAGTTACAAATGGAAATTTTACACGAGGTTATGCACGTTCATATGGTGCATCTCGTTTTAATGATACAGATCTTTTATTTTTTATTGATCTTGATATGGTTTTTACTCGTGATTTATTTCCACGTATACGTCATCATACAATATTTAATAAACAAGTTTATTTTCCAATTATATTTAGTCAATATGATCCAAGTTATTGGGAAACAACACAGACTTCATTCAATTTTTCTTCATTTAATCTTCGTGATGATATTGGTTATTGGCGCCTATATGGCTTTGGTATGCTCGGAATATATAAAGTCGATCTAGGACAAATCGGTAGTTGGAATATTGAAATAAGTGGATGGGGAAAAGAAGATGTAGAAATTTATGATAAATTAGTACAATGTCCAACTTTAAATGTTTTTCGAACAATTGACAACAGTTTAATGCATATATTTCATACAAAAGAATGTTCACCAACATTACGTGATGATCAAATGAATATGTGTAAAGGAACTAAATCGATTACATTAGGATCACAACGTATATTAGTACGATATGTTCAAAAACTGATTGAGCTCAATAAAATCTGATATATTGTTTTGTTTTTCTTTTCATTGTCTGAGATATAATTAATACGCTAATCGAAAGTAAATCTTTAAAAAGAAAGATTAATTTTTAGTAAAACTAAAACTGTAAATTGCCACGACATAATTGAATTTCAATCAGCTCGATATGACTATCATAATTCAAATCAGTATTTTAAAAATTCTGCTAGTTCATGATGATCTATTGATCAATTATGATCGTGTTTAACAATATAACAAACACAACAAGCTAAGGCAAAAGAAATACTAAATTGAAGTACTAAAAATTTTTGTATGGGAAAATAATAGCAAATTCAATAAAATCCTGTTGATTAAAATCAATAGTTCGAAATTTGTTTCGATCTAAACTTTCATTACGATTCAGATTTGATAGAACAAAATTTTGATTGTAAAAGTCATAAGGACCAGAGAAAGTTATTAATAATAATGTAATTTTTTTTAACGATCATTCATGATTTTTTGATTGTCTTATATGCCGATACAAATCGACTAGAGAATAATTTTATGCTACATTGAAGCGTCGTAAACGGCGACGAATTCAATGCAAACTGTACAATGTAGACAGATTTTCAAATGATTGAATAATAATAATGATTTTTCTTTACGAAGATCTTTGTGAGAGAAACAATTGCCTATCGATTCGTCTCTGTGTCGCAATCTTTACAAGAGAGAATGATTAAAATATACTTATTATTGAACAAGTATAATAGCCATTATTATCGCTTGCACTTTAAGTACTTTTTTCTTTTTATTCTTCTGCAGCACGTCATTTCTACTTAAAATTTATTTTGGGTGGCACAGTCTATCAAAAAAAACAGAAACGCTTGGGACATGTGTTTCTCTCTTCTTACAGAAATAGCGGCAAGATATTGATGATGTAACTATACATTTCATTGTTTTTTCTCGTCACCTTTGAACGTTGGTCCGTAATTTTCTCACAAGTAACAAAAGTTTATAACACAATAGATTTATACATGCACAGAGAATAGTATATGTCTGGTAAGAACAAAGAAAGAAAAAAAGAGAGCGAAAAGCTGTTACATTTTTTTTTCATCTCTCATCGCCAGTAGTATGACAGAAAAAGAAGACGTAAGTCTTAAAGTGACCTGACCTCTCATATTCATTGGCATATGCCTATAAAGAAAAATGATCTATAAAAGATGTGCACTCTTTTTTATTGTTGTATTTTTTGAAACCATAAATGCATTACCTCAATATATTTATCGTCATCAAACAAATTCACCAAAAAATAATGATCCTTCCTATCAAGGACAGTCAGCTGGATTAAACGGTCCAAGTGGTTCTATTCCAGGTGCCCACTATTATGGTGAGCATAAATTTCTCAGAATGACAATTATTTTATTCGTTTATTTATAGGCGTTGAAGCTGGTCCACACTATAATTCATTTATACCGATTCAAAATCGTCCAAATGAAGGTGGTATTTTACCGATAAATTATAATCCTAGCTCTAATATAAATAAAAATCATATAAATCCAAATCTACAACAACAAAACCATAAAAACTATTTGTATAATAACAACAATGCTTGGCAAAGAATAAATACGAATAGTTATAATAATCAACCATCCAATCGTTATCCACAGGGCAGTCAAGGATGGTATGCTACTGGTGGTAATTTCTGGTATAATAATGGACAATTTAGAGCTGTACATCCTTGTCTTTTGATGATAAGTATTCTGATTTTAATTATTTGTAAATAACGAAATAGATCGAATGATGATATTTGATCAGTTTTTATGTTTTATTATATTTAACCGAGTACAAATTTATATTAAATAAAATAAATCATACATTTATGAGAAATAAAAATCAAGACATTCTAGTAAATCTTTAGAAAACTTTTTTTCCATTTCAAAATGATTTGTGATTATAAGTTCTGTTTTACCTGTGTGTTGCAATAACAATATAATGACTCAGAAAATTGTGAAATTTGTTTTTCTTGTCAACAACGAAAAATGAAAATTACAAAATGAATGCAACAGTATCAAAGATGGATTGGTTAGATTATTTTACACCAGTGAATTTTGCATCAACAAAACAAACAGATGATAATGAACTTTATGGAAATAGTCGTCTATTACGAGATGATTGCAATGATGAACAAGTTAACAAAGCAAAATGGGTATGGAATATAAGTCAACAAACAACAAAAGAATATTGTAGTGAGTTGGGTCGTACATTTCAAGTTGATATATCTGATCAACGTTTCTTTGTTGTACATGAACCATTAATGAATAATACGAGACAAAAATCTATGCCTTTGTTGATTTTTTGTCATGGTCTAAATTCATGTGCTTGGTATTGTGCACTTGTTAAAACTGGTTGGTTGAAACTATCCGTTAAATACAACTTTTTAGTCGTTTTTGGGCAAGGACAAGGTACTTTCTATGAATGTGGACCTCAACGTAATCAATATGGTCAGCTTGGTTTTGGTGATTTATATTGGGAAATAGAACAACCTAAAGATGATTTTGAGTATCTTGATTGTCTATTAAACTATATGAAGAATAAATATGGTCATCTATTGGATTCAGATCGCATCTATTTTATGGGTTATTCTAATGGAGCTTTGTTTAGTTCAAATGTTGCTGTATATTATGGCCGAAAGACATTTGCTGCTCTTTGTAATCATTGTGGTGGTTTTGGTGGTCAATATAATGAAGAAAAAATGTTACAACCTCAAGATATTATTGCTCCTTTACCAATATATATTCTAACAGGTATTGATGATGCTTACAAAGAAAGTTGTCTAAAAGCAAAGAATTTATTCGAAATGGCACATTGTCCAGTAACTATCGACGTATTGGAAAATAGAGGACATTCCTATTATATTGACAAGGAAGAATTTATTTGGACTGAATTCTTTCTTAAATATCAATGTTCAAAAGTGCACAGTTAACTTAATATATTTTATCATTTTTAAGAAATTACATTTTGTACTGAGTGATATTATTGAACCATAAATGATTAACAAATTTTCTTATTAGATTAAACTTTTCTATGAAGTAAGCTATACTTAAAAGCGAAAAGTACTCACATGCCGACAGTAGCAAGATAAAAAAGAACAAACGATCTTTTATTTTTCATGCTGATTGATTGAATTTCAGGGTATTCATACGACCTTTAGTCAGAGCAATGGTACTACATCTACATGTATGCAAGCTTAACTTATTATTCTTGCAGATCGACATCAATTTACAGTTTTAAATAGTAGGAACGGCGAGAATTTAAATCGATGTTAAAATGGAAATAAAACATCGGGTCAATAGTCAGTCAACATTGTCATAATAAACAATATTAAATGATTAAGATTACTCATTTACCGGTTAAAAAATTATGTACAATAAAAATAATAAAAAATGTTTAGTATTTTCAAAGTACAGACTAGATAGTTAATATCAAATGATGATCTGCTGATCCATGCATCGAATGCACCTATCGTTTATATTGCTCGTATCTAAATTCACTGTGTGAAGATTTTAATTATAACAAAATCGTTCATCAAGGTTTATACATTTTAAGGATTAGTGAAACCTTAATAATAATTGTACAAAAAAATAATAGACAACGCTCTCTGCTGATTCATTATAGCAGACGATTGTAATTAGTATGATGTCTATCATAGAGATGATGGGAGCTAATAACACTAACAAAAATACGGAAAATAAAAATGGTCAAAATCATAATATGATGTAACCCATGTTTCCAATATTAGGTACCTCAACAAAAAGCAAAGTACTCAGAG